CCTTGATTCTTTTCATTTTTAGCCATTCTGTTGTAGATTTCCTGCCATGTTTGAGATCATTGTCCTGTTGACACAGTTTGGTCCAAGCTTTGGCTGTCGGACAGATGGGCTCATATTTGATGTTAAAATACTTTAGTACATGATCGAGCTGTTTGTTGACTCACTGCCTGCAAGGTGTGCAAGTCATGTAGCTGGAAAGTGAGTCAAAGTCATCCACCTCCAGTCACATGCACTGTTTGGTTTTTACCAAATCTGATGCCGTACATCATGTCCAAACATTTGTACTTTGACGTAATTTTTCCAAATGAACAGAGTAGAAGTCTGCTGCTAACTGACAGAGAGTGGTACAGCTCTTATACAGGCTTCAGCATATCAGCCCTTAAGGTTCTTAACATTTAACGTTGATCATGAGAAAGGTCCTAGAGCCAGACTCTGAGAAAAAGTTTGCACCTCACATTTTTGTCCTTGACAGTTATCTGGGATGCCAGTTCCTTTCAGAGACAAACGTAGAGTTTCTGTATTTTATACAGGGGAACAAAAGTTAGTCTAAACCGTTGGGGAAGTTGTTAGTGCTGTTGCCTTTCATCAAAAAGGTCCTGGGTTTGAATCCTGGCCAGGCGTCTCTGCATGGAGATTGCATGTTCTCCCCATGCATGCATGGGTTTTCTCCACTAACATAGTTTCAGAGTGTGTGTTAGGTCAGTTGGTCTTTCTGTGTCGTGGTTAAGGGTGTGTGTGTGTGTGTGTGTGTGTGTGTGTGTGTGTGTGCATGCATGGAGGTTTGTCCTGACTGTCTCTGTGCCACAGGTCCTTTTAAAATCTTTTTCTTGTAGAACCCAGTATGCATGCTTAGTAAATTTGTGTCAAAAGCCAAATAAGGTAACGGATAACTTGAAGGATGTCATGAGACAACATTTTAAACTGTGAGCCTTTTAAGAACATGACGTATTAAGCGCTGGCAGCAAGTTTTTAGATTACTGCAGAAACAATGCAGCCTTTGAAAATGACTCTAATGCCTGAGCTGTCTGTATTTGGGTCGCATCATGTTTCTTTGTATTCGTTTCCAGGAATATACCCCACCTGCCAGTACTGTGGGACTGGAGGGAACATGGCAGGTGTCCACAGCAGCAGAACTGCTTCAGGTTCACCTAAACTTCCTGCGAGGCAAAGTACGCCTTCTTCTTTTGGACGCTCAGGCTTGTCGGCAAGAGGCCAGCTGATCAGGAGGCAGGCTCACTCCAAGACAAAAGTACTTTGTGTTTCCAAAGGCAAGTGGAGGAACTTGACTGTGTTACCCTGCGCGATGGCAGCTGGATGCAGCATGGGACGGGTCCTCGACTGGAGGGGAAGGACTGTCCCAGCAAGGCTTTGGACGGACTGGAGACGACTGCGCCATGGAATGTAAATGTGTCTCGTGGACGTGTTGAAGCAAACCTTTCCCAAAAAGACGCCTTTGGAAAGCACTGCTCCAATCGCTGTTCTACAGGCACGCTCTTGCACTTTTTTAGTGGATGTTAATGTTGTGTGAGTTGAGACGGAACTTTTCGGTTCATCCTGGAAAAATAGAGTGAAACACCCTGGAAATATTGATAGGACTGTTAGGTTGCAAAGAAGCGACACTGGGACTTCACCAACATGCCTTCAACTGTTATTTAACTATGCCTCAGAGATATATTAGTCTTGTCTGTTGGAACTGGTCAGTAAATATTTTTATTGTGTAGAAACTATTTATACAGATTTTCTATTTTTAGGCTACTGTCTTTATGTAACAGGTCCTTACAGGTTTAAACAAGCACGTTATCATGCTCACTTTTTGTACACTGGAAATTTTGCACACGTGCAAAGACTTACTCTTGATTTGCCATATAAAGCTGCTCTTCCTTTTTTTTTTTCTTAAAGTTTGCATCTGAACGTCTGTGTTACACTGCAGGGTTTTCTCTCACAGGCCTGTTGGAGGTATGCAAAGCTGATAGTTGCGGAGTGAGAGCCAGAGGTCACTGCGGTGGGTTACATGGGAACTGTGGACCGTTATCTGTGTTTCAGTTTCTGTCTAACCCCAACACTCATCCTGGCTCCATGCGCTGATAGCCAGACTGCCTGGAAAATTTTACAATTAACATCCTGTAGAGCCGTATTTGCAAACATGTTTCCAGAAACTGACGCTAACACTTGTTTTTTCCCCTTTCTCTGTCGTATGTCCTCAAACATGCAATCTTCTGACCCTGGGAATTGTAGGTTTCTCTCTTAAAGGGACGCTCAGCTGTTTCACAATAATTAAGTATTCTTCCTTGTTTATTTTCCTGTATTTTTATATGTTGCTGCGCAAATGGAAGATGTTTTTAAGGATGCATGTCTATTTTCTTTCCTGTTTTTTTGTATTGTTTTGTCCCATCGCTGCAAAATCCACAGTTTAAATGCAAAATATTGTTTTTGGATAAAGAGAGGGCAGATGAAAATACGACAACAGGAAGTCTGTTCATTTATCTGTTAGTAGGAGGCCTGCTGTTAAAATCTAAACACCTTACACTGAACACACCGACTTCAAGTCGCTTCTGCACTGAATCGGTCATGTTACATATATCCTGTATTTATTTTTTTCTTCCAATGATGTAGAAACAGAATTTGAAGAAGTTTCAAGCAACTTTTATTTTATTAAACCAAACACAGAATCTTAAGTGGATCAGTTTTGATCAAGGAAACAACAGACATCTGTTTTAAAGGAGAAGCAACAAATAAATTCAGTTCAAGTCCCGCTGACCTTTCGCTGAACTCTGTAATGTAAACAATGATCATATTGCCAATTAGATTAAATGAAGTTTAACTGCTGAAAGACTCACTGGAGCTGAACACCGACATCTAGTGGACATTGACAGTAACAGCACTCACTTTAACAATTGGAAAATTGATTTTCTGATTTTTTTTTGAAGATTTTCTGATTTTTTTTTTTCGTGGACAATGAAATACACCAGTAGTTGTACATGTTTACATGCGTTTCCTCCTCATCAAGCAAATATAATACATTAAACACATAAAAAAAGGAGGATTTTAATATGATTCACTTGTAAACACACACATGCCCTCCTGCTCTTCAAACCATGAGTCCAAACGAAAAAATGTCCAACAAAGACCACAAGAGAAGTACAACAGGAAGTACCTTCAGGTCACTGGGGATCAGGGTAGAAAACTTTGATATGAATGGCTGAGTTATTGCGTGTACGTGTCATGGGCTCCCCCGCCTCGTCGGGATCTTCGGGCTCCAGGTCGTCGATGAGCTCCACTGTGGAGGTGTTGGCCGCCAGCTGCAGCGCGCCCTGACTGCTGGCCTGCAGCTGCAGGGCGATGTTGATGGCTCTGTTGATGGCGAGGCCCAACCCGTGGACGCAGATCTCCCTGTGACCACCACCGTCCAGCAGCTTCTGACAGCGCGCCAGCTGGGCCCGGAAGTCGGTCTTCATGTTAACGTAGACGTCGTTCCGCCTCTTGGGAAGTTTCCGGGGCAGACGCTTCCTCAGGGTGTACTCCACTGGATCCATCTCTACGGCTTGGGAGCTGGACTCCGTGTGGGACGGGTTGCTCTGGGGGACGGAGGACATCCCAGGGTTGCGTGGTTCAGTCATGTTTCTGAACGAACAGTGACGATCCAGAAGAAGAAGGCTAATGGAAAGAACATGTGGCAAACATATTAAAACAACCAGTTACAGGTGAACAAGTAAATGTACAATACAAATGTTTCATTTATTTAATCTCAGAAGTTAAAGAAATTAGATTAAAAATACTTCTTTGAAAAGTGGGTATCATTTAAAATACAAAAATAAACCTCCATTAGGGAAACTGGTGACAGTTGCAAAACTGTAGTAGCTGCTACAATTTCACATACATCTGTTATAAAGACACAAAACTGTGGCTAGTATTTAAGATTTTGATCAAATTTGGAGGCAACTATTTTAAGATAAAGTATAAAATTAAAGCAACTGAAAGACCAGCAATCCTTTCATTGTCCTTACACATAAAAATATAACAGAAAAAAACTGAAAAATGCCAGGCCAGGAGAGATTTTCTTTTTAAATGATGATCAAACTCTTTCCTGACAGGAAAATGTATCACTTTTAATCTAACAAGATAGGAGGGAAGTCTAATCTTTCCATAACTATTGATGATAAAAAAGTCAATACTGAATATAATAAACACAAAAACGTCATTAATCAGATTTAAATGATTCAATTTTCCTCTAGATCAGGATGTCAAACACTAAAAAATATCTGTTTTTGTTTTCCAACTTTTTATTAAATGTATTAAACTATGAAAGGGGAACAGATGAGAGGAATAAACACAGTTAAATATCAGCTGGGAGATTAATTTGAACAGATTATCTCAAGCAACTGAAATATTTGGTTCCACCCACGTAACTTTGGAAAATAAAACGCAAACGTTGTCCTTGATGAGAGGAATAAATACAGCTAAAGACTTGCTGGTAACTTAATTTGTTCCCGTGTTGTGGAGGTGGAACAGATAATTTCAAATAGCTAGAATAATTTGACCGGATGGAAATAGTGCGTACACACTTTACCGGTGCGAGAAGCGAAGCGTCAAACGCGCTACGTTTTGCTTGTTTTTCACCTGTCTGATAGTTGCATGTTCACTTAATGGAGGTCTTATATGATGTCGTTAACTGTATAATTTCTGTTCAGAAAGAAACCAGCGTCCAACTGAAAATACAAAATGTCTCAATCGAGATGAAGTAACGGCTCAAATTAAATTAAACCACATTGACTCACTACCTAAGCGTTGCAGTTTCTTGTTTCGTACCGATAAACTGTGAATAGGAAGAGCATAATTACCTTCAGAGAACAGAATCAAGATAAAACGTTGCTTTACGTGGCCGCCATCATAGTTTTCCTGTACACAACAGGAAGTGTTCCATCCTAACCCGGAAGTAAAACAGGTTGGACCGGTGAGTGTTTTTTTCCCCCTGGTTTTTCCGTCTATTTTATATATATATTAGACTCAGAGACAATATAAATGGCGTCTGACGAAAATATAGACTGGGGTACCTGTGAAAAAGAGAAGATTTGTCAGAAGGTCGAGACTTTATTAAAGAATGTACACTCTGGGCTCCCTGATCCACTGACGGACGCTGCGAAATGCTGCCTGGTTAAAGGAGACTATCTGTACTTCCATTACGGCTGTGATGGACAGGATGACAGAGGCTGGGGCTGTGGATACCGAACCATTCAAACCATGGCTTCGTGGATTTACCTGAACAGGTCCACAGTTCAAAACCAGACCAGAATTGCTCCAAGCCTCCCACAGATCCAGCAAGCCTTGGTGACAATGGGGGACAAGCCAGGCTCCTTCTCAGGCTCCAGGGAGTGGATAGGGACATTTGAAGCCTCCCTGGTGCTGGACTACTTCTGCGATGTTCCCTGTAAGGTGGTGCATGTTAGAGGTGGAGGAGCAGAGCTGGAGCAGGTTGCAGTGGAGGAGCTCCACCAACATTTTGAAAAGCACGGTTCTCCTATCATGATGGGAGGAGACAGGGACAATTCCTCTAAGGGTATATTAGGAGTTTGTACTGGGGACAAAGGGAGCTATTTGCTTGTTGTTGATCCTCACTACTATGGGAGACAACTGGAGAAGACAGAGCTGCAGAAGAGAGGGTGGGTGGCTTGGAAACGAGTCTCATCTCTGGATCAGTCCTCGTTTTATAACCTCTGTTTGCCTCAGACTGCTGCGAAGGGAATATAAGACCTCAAGTGCAAATAAACTGATATTGTTCCAATGGGCAGAATGTTGTAACATGAGTGCCATCTAGTGGTTGAAGTGTGAAAGTGTCTGATAAGTTTGTACCAATAAATTCCTCACACACCCACTTCAGACAATTATTTAAGAAGACAATTATTTAAGAAGTTAATTTCCTTTTTCAAAATCAAAACTGTCTGTATTACGTGAATTAATTTACATTATACATTGTAATCATAGGCCAAATAATAATCTCCAGCATTTTGGGTAGACATTGGATCTTTATTAGAATTGAAATATATATTGTTGAAGTAAAAGTATGACAATTCATTGTTTTTATGCTGTTCTCAAATACAAAGACTTGTCTTTGACCATGTTATACTTTTCCATATTTCTATCATTTATTTGATCAAAGAATTGGGATAAACAGAATATATACTACTAAGTAAAACAATGGGGCAAAACATCAAATTAAAATGTATCCAAAATGGGACAGAGTTTCTCAAACCATTAAATTCCAAGCATGTCAATCGCTGACTTATTCTTAAAATTAACTCCTAAATTAATAACGCACTTAAAAGCTACTATTACATCAATTTCCCTAGTTGTCTGGCACACAGTCGTTATAGAATATCTGGAAGTTCTTGTCCACATCCATCCTCCCTTTGAGGAACTTCTCCAGGTTCTTCAGGGGAACCTCCACCATCTGGTTGTTGACGCGGTCGTTCAGCCCGTATGCCCCAAACACGGGGAACTTGTAGCGCACAAAGTACGGCGCATTCTGGTCGAACTCCGTGCAGCAGTAAGCCGACCACATGTACTCCGGCACGGCCACCCGGTCCATGTTGTTGCGGCGGATCGTGTGTCCGGACGTGGTGACCCCGGTGATGACGTAGGCCTTTCCTCTGCAGTAGTTGTTGAGTCGTTTGCGGACGATGTCCTGGTGTTCGGACCATGGACCCAGGTTGAACTCCCTTATCTGAGGAACCACGTTTGTCAAGCTGTAGGTGGAGGCTTTGTCCAGAGGGTCCGCTTGGTGCTCGTCGGGGTTTAGTTGACCGCGTTCGTACTGAACAACGTCGGCGTAATCTTCGAGGACGGCCTGGGTGTCCTCGAAGTTCATGTGCATGCTTGTAGACTGGGGGAAAGGCTCCATGTTGCTGCTGCTCTTCTCTGATGCCAACTGTTGATACAAGAAAAATTAAACCACAAACTCAGAAAGATAGATTTGTATATGTGGCATTAGTGACACTATCTCATTGAGACTTATCCTGTACTCAGCAAGGTAGCTTATCTCAAGTTGACCTAAGTAATAGTTCTTCATGTCCATTAAGTGTCTACAAATTGCAAACGATACCCTGCTAAAGGATCTACATGGACATTTAAACTAAAAGCTATCTCAACCAAAACAGCGTTTTGTTGTAGAATGAAGTGAAACTCACCTGAGGCTCAAACATCCAGGGGAAGTCCACCTTCTTCTCCCCGTCTGACTTCTTGAACGTGTACGCAGAGAAGATGGGGATGTGCCTGCGGGGGTCATACACTGTGGCGTAGCGAGGTTTATCCTCGTACCTCTGGCAGATCTTCTTAAAGGAGTTGCTGAGATAACCTCTAGGTGGGGTTCCCATGTACAGGGAGTCCTTGCAGCGCTCTGCATGGTTGAAGTCGCTTACTACTCCTGCTTGGACTCCCTGCAGCGCCACGGAGGTCAGCACCATCACAACAGCTGACAGGGAAACGGCACGGTTTGCAGATGTCGCTCTCATCTCTGCAGCTTGTTTTTCTCTGTTCCTGTAGATCTTTGTGAACCTCCTTGTGAATAAGGCTGCGAGTCGTCTACGTCTAAAAGGCACAGCCTCGGTTTCAGCTCTATCAAACTCAACATTTCCCTTCCTGGCTCATCTGTGCTTCCAACTGATCTCCCATTGTAAGGTCTTTCCATATATTCAAATTGCCACAAGTGTAGCTGTATTAGTTTAAAGGCAGTGAATGTTATCTGACACTGAGAGCATTTTATCGTGCCCCTTTTCCACATTGCTGACATGACATAGTAGCATTCATGGAGGTGTAATAATAATGGGTTCAGCCCAGCAATTTGCATTTGAGTTAAATGTCACTATAAACTTAAATAGAATTAAAGTGTGATCGATTTTTACGTGAGCAATGGAAAAACATCATCAGAGAAAATTAATACAAACTGAAAGAAATGCAACCTGTGCACAAAAATATGTATCCTTTTGAATAGTTTTTATAGATGAAGACCTGTTTAAAAGAAGAAACGCTGTAAAATCATTGCTCAAAATTGATCTTTCTTGTTACATCACATGGTTAGCAAGACTTCACCTAAATGGACAGACTTCTTCTCTCATTTTATGCTGGAAATGAACAGCTGGAAATTCTGAGAATACTTTTACAAATTATAGGTTTAATATACTTCTGACTTTCCTGTGCAGCAGCTTGATGACTTTCACTCTCTGATCTCTATTAACTCATTTTAAGACCTTTACTCAAATTCTATATACCACTCAATAAAAAGGTTAAACTAAAACCAACAGTCAGATAAAAACAACAACAAAACTAAGTAACAATGTTGATCTAAGGATTCCCGTGTTTAGAGTAGGTATCTTTTTTAAGGTTAAGCGTATTGAATTTCCAACATTTCAGAGGTTTAATCTCATGTCTATAGTTGTAATCTTTTTGATAAGACCTTATTATGTGATATTTCTAGTCTTACAACATGACCATTGTGATGTGTAGAAGATTCATTCATCTGTATTGATGATGAATTAATGATCTAAATGGAATAACAGGAACTTTATTTGGAACCATATTCATATTTGTAAATAAAATAAAAAATTTTCTAAGTTCTGAAAAAGCCATGTTTACAACTAGGTTTGAGTTGAATTTAATTTTAAAATAATGTTGAAAAACTTTAACATTCATGAGAGATTTAATTAGCACTGAGAAAACAAAATGTTTCTCAGCTTCAAGCTGTTTTTCTATTTTATTTAATTTTTTTGTTTGGTGTCTATATGCCTCATTGTAGAGTTGTATACTGCTCTGAGTTCAATGGGGCGACTTTGAACTATTGTCTGCAGTTGAAAACATTATTTGCTGATCCAATACGTCAGTTTTACCAGCATGAATGAGATGAGATCAATAAATCAGAACTCCTTGAGCTTTCACAGCCAAACTGTTGACTTTTGCTCTTGAAAGGTAGAAAACGTTTACTGGCTTTTATCAAACTGGTTTTCAAAAGTGCTTTTGAAAAGCTGCTGCTGTAATGGAAAAGTGTTATTCCAATACAAGCTACAGACATCTATTCACACAAATGTTAGCACACAGTTTCTCCTAATGGGAACATGGTGTTCAGGGTCCGATCTGAAATTACTTCTTCATCCTGTAGAGAGAGCTGACAGTGTTTTATTAACTTCATGTTTGAAAAGAAAGCCTCCAAAGACAGTTTGATTGAATTGTTTATTACAATATAATGTACCGATGCAGTTACAAAGCGGTCGTTAATCAGATAAAATCACGCTAAAACTCTGTTCAGAGTTCTGAACATGTCAAGAAATAACCTTTGAAAACAGGTAGACGTTCAAACAGGTGAAACAGATGATTTAGCAACGTTTTCTTTGTAGGTCAGAGAAGTTTGCTCTTCTTTTATGACCCATGCTTAAATATCTCCTTTTACTATCCTTCTCTGGCTGGTGTCCTTTTGCTGATTAATGAGCTGTGGAAGTGCAAAAGTAGAAAAGCCAACCTCATACTTCACTTTTATGCTCTGTTTTTATTAAGTGGGAATGTTGGGGAACTTTATTTGTATGAGTGGTGGTTTGATCTAGTCCATGAACGTAACTCCTAATATGTCTTGTCAGTCATTTTCTTTCTTGGTTTTTTCTTGAGGAACTTTAATTAGAAAAAGAAAGTTCTGCAACCACTTTGTTATGCCAACAATTAATATGTGTGTTTAGAACAAACACAAATATATATAGTTCATGATTCAATTCTGTTTATTTGCTTATATTTTAGTCTGGTAAGCTGTACACTATGTGTTTTGGAAACAGTGGAGCTTTATTTATTCTTCAAATTTACAATCTATCTACCTCATTTCAAAAATACTTTTCCTAATCACTTCTCATGGATGGTTGGGGTTTGCAGTCTCCTACAAAAATCTGAAAGTTCTGGTTCACAAACGACTTTCTGAGAAACTCCCTGAGCTTCGGGACGGAGGTCTCTACCACCTCGTTGTTCTCGTCCCCGTTGAGGGCGTAGTGAGCAAAAGACGGGAACTTGTATCGCTCCGTGTAAGGCGTGTTGTGGTCATAGTCCACGCAGCAGTAAGCCGACCACAGGTAGTCGGGGACTGCGATGCGGTTCATGTTTTCCCTGCGGATCATCGTCCCTGACTTGGTGATCCCGGTCACTACGTAGGCTGTCCCGCGGCAGTAGTTGTTAAGCCGTTTGCGGACGATATGCTGCTGTTTGGTCCAGATCCTGTCGTTGAAGTCGGGCACCATGGGGACGACGTTGGTGAGGGTGTAAGTGGAGGCCTTGTCATCGGGTTCGTTCTGATGCTCGTCCGGGTTCAGCGTCCCTCGCTCGTATTGTATGGCGTTGGTGTAGTCGTCCAGAATCGCTTGGGTGTCTTCAAAGTTCATGTGCATGTAGTTGCGTGGAAACGGCTGCATCTCACCTGTGTCAAAAGAAGTGGACAACTGTGCAACAAAAGTAAACAAACGAGACAGTAAGCTTAAAATTAATACATGCCAACCGGCATGGTGCTTCTTGATTCAGGGTTTTAGTTGTCCTTACCTGTGGCTCATACATCCAGGGAACATCCACACACTTCTCCCCGTCCGAGCGCTTGAAGGTGTAGGCGGAGTAGATCGGAATGTGATCCTCAGTGCTGTACAGAGTCACGTAGCGCGGCTTCTTGTTGTAAAACTGACAGATGTACTTGACGGAGGGGAGGTCCAGGGCTTTCGGTGGGGTTCCCATGTAGAGGAACTCCCTGCACTCTGGAGACAGCTCTTTCTCCACTCGCCCTCTCACCGCTGAAGATGTGAGGCTGGCGATCAGGAAACCCATCTGTAGCCAAAACGCCATCATCCAAATGTGATCTGAAGTCTCTAATCCAAGTCCAGAAGCCGCTGAATGTTCAGTGTCTCAGTCAATAACCGAATGTGTCTCAGTGTGTCCGGTGGTGTTCAGTGGAAAAGCTAACACAGGGTTTCACACCTGTCTTCTGTGTAATCTGGAGACAGTATGCAAAGCAATGCTGTTCTTGCGGTGCTGCAGTTCCACCCACTAGAGTCAAACATTCAACAGCCAGTGGGAAAAGGTTCACGATCAGGTTTATCTTCTACTGGTGGGAAAAGACGATAGAAAGACCTTCAGTCTATCTAGAGATGCAGTAAAGCTTTCTTTTAAAGAAACAAACTTAATCAGCAGCTTGAAATTTCAAGCAATAGGCTGCAGTTACACGCAATCTGGTAATATATATAAAAAAAGGATTTTTTGGAGAAAACATGGGTAGAAAATAATTGTCTAATTGATAAAGTCCTAGCTCAACATAACTCACCAAAGAATAAAGAAGTAGGATATAATCTTCCATTTTAAGAAGTGCCCTAATGTCAGTTGTATGTTACATCAGCAGGAATTAACAGTAATGTTGCATGTAAAGCATTGGGATCAGGCTGTAGCCACATCATAGGACCTGGTGAATTTTATGTAAAAAGTGGAAAAACAATTGTTTCAGTTTTGTTAAACTGCAGGGAATGACAATAAAAGTTGCAGAATCCATCCTTTTAACATTGATTTTATTGTTTATTCTTTTCCCCATTGTTGTTTTTTTTGTGAAGGGTCATTACATACAAAGCTCAAGACATCAACAGACAGTACTTTATGCAGACACAATCTAAATATAGCCTCTAAAGTTGGGAAAGAATTTAATTTTTAAACAGTCTTCTCTTTCTAGCATCGATAAAAACATCACTTTAATCAAAGTTCGTTAGCCTTATATTTTAACACTGTTCTGGTTCAAGTATATTTGAAACATTCCCAGTTATTCGGGTTGCAGGTCAACCCTCTGCAGGTCTCTTCGCTTCTTTTCGATGGTGTTTTCTGACACACAGCCCTTGTAGAAAATACTCATGTCATTTTCAAAGTCGGTTTGGCTCTTCAGGAAAGTCTCCAGTTTCTTTAATGGCACCTCCACCACACTGTTGCCCGTCTGTTCATTCAGGGCGTAGCCGCCATAGCTGGGGAACATGAATCTCACCTCATACGGTGAGTTACGGTCAAACTTTGGGCAGCAGTATGCCATCCACACGTGCTTTGGTATTGAAAGACGGTCACTGTTGTCGCGCTTGACGGTGGCCCCTGAAAAAATTACTCCAGTCACGACGTAAGATTTACCATGGCAGAAGTTGTTCAGGCGTCGGCGGACCGTGCCCAGGTAAGAACTCCAGGAGGTTTCCAGGAAGTCAGTGATCAGAGGAACGACGTTGGTGAGGGTGTAGGTGGAGGATTTGTCGTCTGGATCTGCTTGGTGCTGGTCGGGGTTCAGCGTGCCTCGTCTGTACTCTACAGCATCTATGTAGTCCTCCAAAACGGTCTGGCTCTCCTCGATGAGAGGAGAAACGTCTTCCGTCAGAGGGAGCACCTTCATGTTGCTGCTCTCTGATTCAGTCACCAGCTGCAAGTTAGAGAGAGAAAACATAATTAAAACAAAACATTTTTCTCAATTTTAATGCAGTTTATTTTTTTTGGAGTGGATAAATACTATGCTACTGTTTCTTAATGCAACATAAACACCATACTTGTCGATTTTCAGTCACAATCAGGGTCTTTTCCCCAACTTTAGAAAGCTCTAAATTTTATCTAAAATAATTTATTATCTCTTATTTTCAAGAATCAGATTTAATTTTGATCAATTAGTTACTGACATTGGTCAAATAGGTAATCATTGAGGTACAGGAACTGTGTAGGTCAAGATTACATGTGTCATCATAGCTACTATTTTATTCATTTGACCTTATGCAATCAAAACTTTGAATAACCTTTACAACAATTTACACCAATAACAAAATCATGATGGTGGGAGAAGTCATTATTCTATGATTTCATCAAACTTTTCAAATGAATCCCACTTTCTTCTGCCTTCTCTACCTGAGGCTCGTACATCCACGGCGTGTCTGCCCTCCTCTTCCCATCGGACTTCTTAAAAATGTAAGCTGAATACAGAGGGAGTCGCCGGCTGCTGTCGTACAATGTGGCGTAGCGCAGTTTGTCGGCGAACTTCTGGCAGATCTTCTTCGGGCTGGTCCCTCGGATCCCTGCTGGAGGCGTTTGCATGTAGAAAAAATGGCTGCAGTCCCTGAAGCTGTTGGACACGGCAGAGCTCACCATGGACACAGAGCAGGACAGGATGTAGGCACAAAACAAACGCATCCTCACGGCGGGGCACAAACTGAAGCAGACAGGGCTGGGAATGTCTTCCATTAATAAATTCCAGCATGACCGCCGCTCAGTTTAATGCTTTTTCCTGCGTTTAAGTGCTGCTCTCAGTCTAGAGGAATGTAATGGAAGTTAGACGCAGACAGAGTATGCAAATCACCAGAGTTTGAGAGCGGGTTTATTGGCTGGTTGGAACTTATCTGATCCAACAATTACAATGCAGCCAAGCATCACTGAGCTCACTGTAAGGGGATAAAACGGTGCACTAATCCTTTATGCAACTTTATATTTTAAACTTAACATTCATTGTAGACGTATTTTTTGCTGTTTTTTGGTGATTGATTAGCTATTCAGTTCAACCACCTGCCTTCAGAAGTCTCCTCTGAGCAGAAACTGTTAGGAAACATTTGTAATTATTTTATTTTTTAATTATTTTTTTACAGGGTTGTTTTAACTTATTTTTAGGTCTTTCTCATTTTGTCATTTGCATCATGTGACGGCTGTTTTGTTGGCAGCACTTTGGTCTTGTGGAATGAATCTGCTGTGCTTTGCTAAGAAGTTGACCAAAAACCCGAGCCGATCACACCTTCAGCCTGCAACATTTAAAATCTAACCAGACGGTTTCTGTGTGATTCCTGAGCTCCATACTGTTCTCCCCCGTGGCTTTCCTCTGACAGTCAAACTGTGATCAAACGTCTCCTCTGCTGAATGTTTTCTCTCTGTTCACATCAAGTCTCACACTAAAAGACTTCCTCTTCCTCTCTATCAGGCTGAGGAATCGTTTACCGTGATAAGAAGTTCTGCAAAAGCCTGAGCTGATCGCACCTTCAGCATGAAGCGATTAAAACCTAACCAGACAGTTCCTGTGTTGTGATGCCTGAGCTCCGTGATGTTCTCCTCATTTGGCTTCTTCTTACAGAGAAACTGATAGCAGAGTTCCTCTGCTTAAGATGCTGGTTTATGTGTCCAACCAGATACTGAAAAACAGACTCTTTAAGCAAAACGTGTGGTGTGTGTATAGTTGGCACATGAGGGAAAGATAAAAACACAGAAATAATACCATATTAGGAGAATATTATAATTTCTCTGCCCTCTTTGATGCCCATCAGAGGGACTTTATGTGCAGCTATAAACATTTGTCTTCCAGTTGAAGCTCAGAGTAAAGACAGTCATGTCAGGGTAAGCTACTGATTCAAACAAATTCTGCAAAACAAATGTTTTTAATTCAATTTTTACAACTTATGCTGTGAACATTTAGATATTTTTATATCAGTTCTTGGTTGAACTTGCTGTAACTTGATTAATTTAGCTTTTGAAATATTAAATATTTTTTGTTGTTTGTTTGTTTCTCAAAGACTGCATGTTTGCATTAAGCCAAAGTTACATGTGGATTTATTCTCACTGCCTGTAATGTAAATCTTGACAAAAAAGACAGAAAAAACAGATTATGTGATAAAATTAACTTCATTAAGCAATTTAAAATTAAGTATGCCTGACTGGTGAAAGGGGAATCATCACATTTTTTCTATGTGAAAGAAAACCAGACAGCTGTATTATTTTTCTTCCACCAACAGTTAATTTTTTTTTTTTTTTTTGCATGTATGATCTTTTTTGTAACGAATTGTTCACATATTTCAGCGTCCTTCTGTTTTACCAAAGCACCTTCTTTTATCAAGGCAAATTCTTCTTTGGACATGCAATACGTTTTGATTTTCTGCTTTGCTATGTTAACATATTGCATGTTGAATTTATTGTCAACCAGCTAAAAAAAAAAAAGAAAAGAAAACACTACAACATGATTCAGTATCATCTGGACAAAAAGTGTGACCTTCAGGACTTTTTACCTGCCAGATTTGGCCCGTGGCTCAAAACATTTGGACATCATTGGCATACCAGAGAGTTTAATGTCAAAAATGTCTAACATTTGGTAAATTTTCACAAAAACAAAATGTACACATTTTTTTTTTGGCAATGAAAAATGACCAAAATGAGCACCAAAACTGCCATAAGATTCAACAAAAAAAATAAATAAAAAAGGATAATAATAAGGCAAGACTGAATCCTATCTTTAATTCAACTTGATAAATCTGCATAATTCTCACATTAGTTCAAATATTTAATCTAATCTCTGCTTCCTTTATCTCCAGCCTCTCAGTCTCAGCTGCTTGCTGCCTGCCTCCCACTCAGCTGATCACCCCAGTCCAAGCTGACCAGTGCAAAGCTGCACAAACAGCCCCTGTGACCATGCTAGCAGGACATGGCTTCGATGTGGCCACCCTGCAGAGTAAGACGGCGTATGTCATCGACGTGAACACCTGGCAGAGGTCAAACAGCTCCTGCACTCTGCGCAAAATCACACTCATGAGGGGGAATCTGCAGAGGCTCCCAGCAGCTGTGGAAATCTGGAGTTGTCACGTTATCTGAAAGCCTCCATGAATCCAGCAGTGCCTTCATCCTGGAAGACCTTGCTGATGTGGCGCCCAGCTGGAAGCAGGGCTCAGACCTGAACGACGTCACGCTGAGAACGGGAGGGACGCAGTCTGAAGCTGCCATCAGAGGTCAGTCCAACCAGGATAAGTTCAGGTTTATTAAGCAAGAACTATGGAGATCCTAATACAGGCGAGAAACGAAAATCCACAAAACCTAAAAACAAAACCTCAGTAAATATAATACGCTTTAGTACTGAGTAGTAACTGGAATGTCTTATCTGACTTTGACACTATATATATATTGTTACCTTGGTTTGTGAAATTAAAGTCAAACTAGATTAAATCAATTGTGTAACTTACTCAACTGGTGATTTTACCTGATAATACATTTCTTTTGACTTTTAAATCTGTTTTTCATCCAATGAATTGTTTCGGGTCTACATCTGTTCGATATTTTCTATTGAAACGCTTACAGACCTAAAGATACTCCAAACAACAACAGGCTAAAGTTTTTTAAATGACTCATTCAAAACATGGTTGCATGGCTTGCTCAATGTCCAACTGAAGAAAAATAAATAATCACTGATTTAGGGTGTTGAGGTTTGTCAGGGACCCAAGGCGAATTTAAACTAAACTAAACTGCTGTGAAAAACAAGCAGCAGATTTGAAAATTGCTTGAAATATCTTTTAATGTAGGTTTAAAGTATGTATAAATGCCTTTTCAACTTTAAGTTGTACTGCAACAGGGTTAAACTTTAGGGTTACAATAATCCAAAACTAAATGTTCTATGTTCAGCTGTTTTTTGCACAACATATCTTGAGTTTACATGGTTTAAGAAAGATTTAAAATTTATTCACAGTGTAAAACTAGCCAACATCTTAACATAACATACATTATATAGCACATTTAATGATTTATCTAATAAACTGTTTTCCTTGCACTTCAGTTTCAATGTGAGAAAAAACCATCCACTCAACCCAAAGTCTGTCCGGTCGGTTATGAGCCTAACATCCCTGTGAGATGAGCTACATGAGGTTTCTGGCTTCATTTGGCACACACATGCACAAAGTTGTTCTGGGAGGCAAAGTGGCAAGCATCAGTTCTGTGCAAATCTGCAAAGCAACATTAGAGGGTTTTACTGAAATGGAGGAGAGAAACTGAATGTCGAGGCGGCTGCCCTGAAATAAAAGCCCAAGCGACTTACTGCCACACGGCTGCCAAAAAGAACCCAAACCTGAAAAGTTTCAGAAGGACGTTCAACCAGAGAGTCACTCAAGAGGTGGGGGGCAGCACAGGTAATAAAACTGACCCTCTCTTCTCTTTCACCGGCTTTGAAAAGTGGAAGAAAGGCTTGAAACTGAAACCAGGTATTATCAACTACAGCCTGGTACTTCTCTACCAACTGGTCACTGATCCGGCAAAGAAAACTGGACTAAAAGAGGCGAGCGAGCACTACATCAGACAAAACACTGTGAAGAAACTCTACTCTAACACCCAGATCCCACTATCTGTGTGCATGTCGCCCCAGCAGTCGCATCACTGCAGCGAAGCCCGGCCCACCTCACCGTCACGGTCAAGTCTGCCAGCGGCCTGCGGGGAGACGTGTTCACAAAAACTGACACCTTTGTGAAAGTTTTCCTGGGAAACCAGACGTCCCAGACCTCGGTCGTCTCCAATGACGACAGCCCACAGTGGAACGAGGAGTTCCACTCGGGAACAGTGGAGCTGATGCAGAAAGTTTGAGGTTTGGGACGATCACTGGTCGGACCGACAGAACGACCTCCTGGGGTCCTGCGGCACCACAATCCAGGCGGGGTCCGTTACGTCCGTGTGCGAGATGAATCATGGTAACTTTTACTTCTCCTTTGCAGCTGGGTGCACCCCAGGGCTGAGAGGAACAGCATGTTCTGAGCACAGTCACCTGTAAGGAATGAATGGAAGTGATTCTTCATGAACCACAGAGGAAGAGAGATCCAGTCAACAAGTCAATTAAAATACGGCATAAAGACGTAAAAGTGTTTTTAACTGGGAATAAAACTCTGTGTCTACAGGGGTAGTTGAACATTTTAGACATGTGTTTATGCTAGAAGGTAATAATCAGTAGGTAAACCTTGGTGACCTTATTTAGCAGTAGTCAAGATTAGTCGGGCAAAGAGAATAAAGATAATTTAATACTTTAAAACAATGTTAAAAACATCATGGCGATTGAGGCAAACTCTACTGAGTGGTCACCAGAAGTCAATAGTAGTTTGCACAGAAAAAGGAGATTAGAAGCTGTGTGCCACCAGTGATCTTAACATATGAAAGATGTACTATAAAGCAAGAACATCAAAGTGTTTCTGATCAGAGTTACAGCCTAGATGAAGAGTAAAACTGTGCAGAAATCAGTAAAATGGAGCTTTTGATTTGATTTTCATGTTGACATTTCCAGCAGATGAGATAAATAACATGCAAGACCAGAATGGCTGAATGACTTTAGACCCAAACTGATTTGTTGAAACATTTATGACATTTTCTCTTTTTCTCTTTGCATTGTCCAGGAAAATGTGCATCGTGTTGTAAGCAATTTAAACACAGGGCTGGAAGAGCTTTAACTAGAAACTTCTTCGAGACTAAAATGTTTCAGTTTTTTAAGGAATGAATGACATGATTAGCATTTTTTTCTTTATAAAGTTGTCCTCTTAAGTTGTTATGCATGTATCAAACTGTTCTGTTCAGCTTCATTTAAATAAATTGCTCTAATAAAACTTTGTCAGAGGAGTTCTGTGAGTTTGTCTCAGTAAACAGTTTCAAGGTTGTCCCTGAATCTCTGATTCATACTGAATCATAGACAAACATGTTCTGTACCATTTTAAACCATTTCCGGATGTTAGTTTTCTTGTATTTAGGTAAATTTAGAATGGAACAGACATAACCTCAAGTTGAAGCATGTAGATTTGCACATTATTAAAAATATAAAAAACTGAAAATAAAACAAATATTCTGTAAAGATGATTTACAATACAAGAAAAATAATGGGGAGTTACTGAAAACGGGATGCTTAAATCCAAAGAAATTACAAAATGTGCATGTGTCGACCTAATTCTTCTGTGTGTGCAAACAACAGGAATCTGCAAATGCAAATTCCTGAAGAAGACTTACATATGGGGTCCCGACCACAACTTTGGGAATTACTCGAGTAATTTATTGGGACGCACCTGCGTGTCGATGGTTTACGATCTATTTATGTTCCTCTTAAACGTTTAATGGCGCCCTCTAGTGTTCACTCTACACACATGGAGTCACTCTAACTTACAATGGTACTAATTGCCAAAATATTCCTACAAGTATCCCTGTAAGTCATTATTATGATATAATAATTTAGCCTTATCTTTAAGGGAACATCTTTGTTTTCCTCTGGTGCTGAAACACGTTTCTACCTCGCGAACCGGACGTTCATCGCCTTGTTTTCATGTGCAACCCGCACAAACTGGACTCTCTGTAAGCTTTACTGGCTAATTAATCGAATCCCGTTAGAAAATAAAAAAAAGAAAGCCGTTTAGAGACGTCCACAGCAGTTAGTGGCCAGGCTGGTAAACAGGGGTGTGTTTGCGCTGCGCCGACATTGGCTCTCCGCTTGTCAATGTGCAGTCACGTGGTGTCACAAGGACGGCCATGTTTTCTGAAACACAAACAACAAGAGAAAAGCAGCAGCAGCAGCAGCGACTCGGAGCCAGCAGACACACACACTGAGCGACCGTTGGAGGAGAGGGAAAGGAAAAAACCCAACAACAGATTAATAAATAAAAACACGGAGCACGATTTTTTTTCTCAGAGTACTATTCTATCGAATGAATACGTTTACAGTGTTTAAAAAGACCAATGCATACGATATATTGGCCGTAGAAGCGCCGTGCAGAGCAGCAGTCTGAAGGTAAGCAGCCGCTTGTTCGTTCCTCTTTGCTGCTAACAGGAGCTAACCCCTCTGCTCTGTGCCTCTGCCATGAGGCCTTGCATTTTCACTACGCCGTTTTTAAAGCTTTTAAATTGTAGCATGGCTTATTTTTGGTTCGCAATGCATTACTGCAAAAATTAACAGCGACATGCCAGCGGAAGGTGGTGTTTCGGCAGCTCGGCGGAGCAGGCCCGGGAGTCAGATTCCCAACAGTCCGCCCCCTCCGCCATCATATCTGGTGTCATTTGAACCGACACGCCAAGGCCTTTACGATCCTCCGCATACCTTAGCTAGTTTAGGTAGCCGGTTGAATCTGGTGTGCAGCCGAAATTGGATATTTTCTGACATTTAGTGCTCGAAACCATTAATTTTACTTTCGCTTTGTTTGAATCCACCGTAATTAGCTTATTATAGGTTGAATGTAAACGTTAACTTAGCTCGGTAGCTAATGTCAACATGAGTTATTTCAACGCTAGCCGTCGTTGGGACGCGTTTTCGGCACTGTTTTGTTTTTAAGCCGTCTTCATTGAGTAATATTTGTTACTAAGATTTATACAGTCAGTTATCGGAGTATATAGTAGACATTCAAATCATATTCTACCAGTAACGCCTCTGGCTCAGTGACCTTGCTTTAGCTTTATTATTTAAAAAAACTTTATCGTTGTAGATACGAGCTAACCTCACTGTAGTCACAAATATAATTGTTTTATATCTTTTTGCTTAGTTTTATATGGTAATAAAAGAAGTGACAGTGTTTAAAAATAGTGTTACTAAGGCCTCATATGATAATGAAGTTATTCAACATTTAAATGAACGGTACCACTTAAAAGAGCAATGATAGCTGCTTCATTTAAATGGCACAAAAACAAAGTTATGCAGGATTTAACACTTTTTTTATATCAATGCAATCTGTTCAATTTGTGAACAATTTTTGGAACTGTTTTTGATTGGCAGTGGCTTTTTTTGTACATAAAAGTAAGTTTTGTGAGTTTCTAATTGAAAACACAACAAGAATGTCCCTCAGGTTGGAGATCTCCAATGCCTCTTTTCCAAGCGGTTCAGTTCACTGTTATTTTATCATCCAGTGTATTCAGGAGAGACCGCCAGATGGACTGTCAATGGGCAGGTGGGATTAAACCCACCTAATGTTGCATCATGCTAGTGTGATGACAAATGTGATGCTCTTGTGTGTGTCGCAGGCAGTGGACTGCAGTGTGGCACCAGTATCTCCAGCCTAACCCTACCGTTGTCCTATTGTCCTATGAAGGAATGGTGGGGTATGGCTCAGATTTATAGCGAAAACTGAAAAAATTGTGTTCTGAATTGCACCGACCCATATTGTTCCGCCTGGTGGTAACTGTTAAACGCTTGAAATGGCCAAAATATATAGCGTAAATATATATTGTGAACAAAATTCAAGTGTTTATTTCATTAAGTTTTCCTGTGTTTTCCTAAATTCTCCTGTTTTGTTTAGTGATGTTTGGCTCTGCTGCTTTTGATTGGCTTCTGCGGTATTTTCAAGGAATACTCTGAATGAAAAAGACCTGTCTGTGATTTACTGTTGGTGTCCTTCATCTACACAAACTCTGTCAAGTTGCAGCGCGGACACAAACGTGTGCCGGAACACGTTTTGAGCTATCGTATGTGAAACGTAAACGCACTCGCCACACACTATTCTTTGTTCACAAAGATAGATACACAAACCTCTGAAAGTGTGTCTGTAACTCGGCTTTGTAGTTGTGCTTTTAGAGGTTTGCGTTGATCGCGGGTGAGCTGAGCAAAGCAGTGAGACTATGGAAATGCTCTTAACCCGTCTTTGCTGTCACCGTTACTGGTGCATCAAAAAACTATTTAAAGTAAATAAACAATGGTTAACCTTGCAGGGGGGACAGGTGAAGCCTGGCGAGCCGCCATGTTTATAATACTCTTGGGGGAAACCCTGGTAGTTGGCACTGCAACAACAAGCAAATCCCACCGGTTTTTCAACCTGCAACTTGGACCCAGCATAAATCCCACCCGTTACCTCTGAGTTTAGAGTCAACTATTACACACTGTTTCAAATTTCCATGCATTTAGTGAAAGGTGATTTTGTGCTTTTACGTTTTTTTTTTTTTTTTTGTTTAGCGTCCGACTTCCTCGGGTCCAGAACGTTTTGTTCCGCTGTTGACAAGTTACTTTTTTCTGCAGTTTATCTTTATTGTGCTGTTATGGAATTTGGTTATGTCTTAAAGTTGCTCAACAATATTTAAAATTTGAAGAGTGGTGATGATAGGCCATCATATTTTTATTGAGCCAACTAGTACAACTGGGTATTTAAATGCTACGGTCAAAGGTGAGATTTTATCTCTATTTTTATGATCATTTATGTCCTAAATTCATCCAAAATACCTACTAGCAGTGGAGAGCAACAACATTAACAAAAAACAGCTAATAGTTTCATACATTCTTTTTTAAATACTTAATGGGGACAAATGAAAGCAGAGATTGTTTGAATTGGAAAGGAGCAAACTGATCCAGAGCTAAGAGGGTTTTTAATCAGACACTTGGGAATAAAGTTATGCGATTCTTTCAGCCAGCTAAGATATCCTTATATTGATACAGTTCAGGCTGTTGAATTGCAAAATTAATAATAATTAAAAAAAAAACATTGCCAACCTTGCATCATTTTTTAATCTTTTCTTTCGGATCAGGTCAACGATGCGACTGAAGTCAGGTAGTCTCACATGCAGCAGCACAATGTGGTCAGCAGAATGGACTTATTTGGAATGAGAAGTAAAACATCGAGGGAATTGTTCACAAAGTCAATATCTGGTGGTTTTACCTTCTGAGGTTGATATTAACTTCCAGACATGCTGCCAGATTTTAGAAGTCGCTTTCTTCAAGCAGTGGAACAGGAAGAAGTCTGGATTTTTCAGTAAAACAGTGATTTTTATCCAGGACGACATTCCATCACATACATCAAAGTACAAAGTAGTCTTTGCATTAAAGATGAGAAACTTAAAACATGTCCCTCTTCCACGCCTGATCTGAACTCGATTGAAAACTTGTGGGCAGATTTTTTTTTAGATGGGAAAGTGTGTTTTTCATCTAGTTGCGCAATACTTCTTCACATTAATAGTTGCTCAATAATTGTGCGTATTCTCCTTAGACACAAAGCCTCACTTTTACTTTCCAAAACTTTCGTGCCTGAGGTTTATTAATATGTACGATTAACCGAAAGCACTGTAGTTGGGGATTAATAAAAAATAATCCTCAAAAGTAAGACTTGTCTAATAATTATGCACACAGTGAGTGATAGATATGCACAGATTAGAATTATACTAGTTAATGGCCTATTTCATGTCTTTGTGGTCTGAGCCGCCGATTTAGGTTTGGACTGATTTCCATCTTCGTTTTAAGGTTTAAGTTTAAAACCCACATGTTTTAAACTTTGAGATCTAGTAAACATTCACTAGAAAAAAAAAACAAAAAACTACACTGCAGGTTTGAATCACAAGATTCCCTAATTTGTGCCAAATCAAATGTGAGAGTCTGATATTTGTCGCCTGTATTTGACCTGCTAATGATCAGTCAGGGCAGATCAAGGGAGCATTGATCTGTTTTGATCACTGACAGTTTTATTGATGTATTAAAGTACCTGGTTGGTCAGCTTCTCAAGAAAATAAAAGTGCATTTTGCTGCATTGGTTTGATTTTGAAAATTGGTTTTCACCGTCTTTAAGCTCCAGCCTGTTTTTAATGAAGCCATACATCTTGCCCATTGGTGGCATTACTAGTCACAGTAGAAACATACATTTTCTCTGGCACTTATTGATCCAGTCTTTGTTTATAGTTATTGCTTTAGGCAAAACTTTTATTTGCTCTCTGGAAACTTCTACTTGTACTTTTCTTGGGGGTATGTGGCACAAACACACACATCCCATAACTTCCCCTTTCAGCCACTTTCCAAGTTAATGTTTTTTTGAGTTCAGACATCTGCTGTAATGTAATCTGTGGCCGTCCGTATCAACATTTTCCATCAAACACAGACTTGTGTTTAGGTTCACCAAATTAGTTCTTTATGACTTTCAAGGTTTGCTTAACCCATTTCTGCAATCATATTTTTCTGAACTTCCTGAAATAAGTGTTACCCAACTATTCCTACAAGGCGCCTCACATTGCACAAGACAAAAACAGCAGTAGATGGGGGAGGGGGGAGAAAAGGCACAAAATACTACCAGCATTAGTCACAGCAGCTTTTTACCTGATTCTTCTGTTTTTCTTTATTTTACATCTCTTCAGAAGGGAAACTTTAACTGTTTCTGGCTTTATGTAAGTTGACGCCACGTTATTGTTTAGTTGTGAGCAGCGCTAATAGTTGTAAAACTGATTTTTTATTGATTATTGATGGAATGATGGTGCTGTTTTCTCAGGGTTGCAGAAGGTCAGCTTTCAGTTACTAACCCAGATAACACATGTGGGTTGTTCATATTTTTTTTTTTTTAGTGTTACTTAAATATGGGTTTCTGTGCATTACCACCCAAACCCCAAACTGCTGTCACAAGGTGTGTATTTTGTATTTAAAACACTAGATTTTGGATTTAAAGATGGTGATCCACCAATCGGGGGTGAAGAAGCTACTTCTGTTTCCTTCATGAGCTGAAGTGGTGAGCAGCAGCTCAAATCTGCAGTGAAAAAAACACCATGAAATGAATCAAAACTGATGAAAAGCCTCAGTGTTCTCACTTTGCGTTTGATGCATAAATCGATAAAATCTTACAATTTCTTATCCATTTGGTACAAAACCACCATCTCTATCAAGAGACGTGGTGCCCAATTTATTTAATTTTGTTATAGTTTTATGTTTGTTATGTTTAAGTGAATCAAAAATGTTTTTTTTACACCAATGAGTTGAGATGTCGCAGCTTTTAGAAAAAGTCTGAATCACAAAAAAACCTTAAAGAAAAACTAAATCAGTAAAATCTCAATCAGTACTTTTTTTTCTATAATTTTCTGACTATTTTTCTCCTCATTTACCACCATTTTGTCTCTATTTCATATCATTAAACGCTTGCATTCTAATTTAGAACATTTTAAAAGTGTTTAACTCTGACATACAAGTACGCTTCATATTAGTTTCCTAATCACAGCGTGGCTCTGTCGATACTTAACATATGAATGATTCATAGTTGAAATAACCAAAATTGCAACAGAACGAATTGCAGAAGAGGCAAAATCACAAACTATTCATTCGCTGTTGCAGACCTGGAGAGCTCCTGCTGCATCCTCGGTGCAGAAAGGAGCGTTGGCACAGATCCTTCCTTCACTGCTCCCAACAAACTCTTAAGTGTTCACATCACTGATCGTATTTGCAGTCTTTAAGTTTCTGTTGCTGCTTTCTGTGCACGGATATGTATATCTTACTTGGTTGTTTAATTTGGTCTTCATTGATCGTCAGATTTTATTTTCTGGTATTAAAGACGGCAGACACACCAATTCAAGTGAATCCAAAAAAGTTTTTTTTATTATTATTTTTTTTTTGTTTTGTCATAAGTTCAATGTTTTCCCTACTTCCATCGTCTCTTTGTACCATAAGAGTTGCTGACCACTCCTTCAGGAAATGGCACACATTTTTCTGAGCTTTGTAAGCAAAGAAAGGTTATCCGGAATCACTGTTATTGAATTGTAGATCAGATAGCACATTTTTAAAGTGGCACCATCAAATAAGGAAGTGTGTTGGTGTGTGTGATGCAGTAAATCCGTCATCCTGACCACAATCACTGGGTTTTAGTGTTTCAAATTAAAAACAAACAAAAAAAAGGTGTTAATAAAGTCCTACCTACGTTGGAAAGTTGGGCGCTGAAGCGTTAAAAAGCCGCAAGCGCAGGCATCGCACCCGGCAACGGAAACTACCGAGACGCGTCCGCGCTTCCTTTCTTACAAGCCAGTAAAATTGGTGGACTGAAAAGTCAACCTGGAGTCCAGCTGAAAGTCCAAATATGTGTTTTGTTTGTTTCTCTGCTAAGCTACCGCCGTTATCCCGAGTGTAAACTGGATTCGAGATGAAGGAAAGTAGAAGAACCAAATGGCTTAAACATGAGGATGTGATGCTCGGACCCAGTGGCATGACTTGTTGAAAATAAGTTGCCTGGATGTTGTTTTTGTTTCCATGACATTTCTCAGGAATTATCCCCCCCGGCCAGCTGCCTGGCTTAAGCAGCAGCTGGCTCACGGCGCTACCGAAATAGGCCGTCTGCATTTCGGGATGGAAAATCTCCCTTTGAACGTGAGAAAACGCGGCGCTTTGACCGAGCGGTTGACAAATGCGGTTTTTAATTTGTTCTGTGGAGAAATGCCACGGTGCCTTCCTCTCTGCTCAGCTCGCCGTCGCTGATGGATCGCGCTACGTCGGCGCTTCTGAGCGTCCCGGCCGCGCCGGTAATGATAGCATGTCGAGGCCTTTTTGCCTAGGAAGAAACTAAAAATAGCAGTTTTCGTCTCATCTGGTGTAAATACGTCCAAGTGTGCGTTTTATGTCCTGGGATTTCTTTTTAAATTTCTCCGATCCCGTCTCTGAATCTCTTGCTTTTTTTTCTTTCCAGGCGTGCAAAGGGAGGAGGACAGGAAATTAAGGAGCTACCTCGAAGGTCTCCGTCAGTCCACATTTCAGCTGGAGCGAGAGGAGAGGAGGCGCAGAGGAGGAGAGAAGGCCGACGAGGAGCGCGAGTCGTGCCTGCTTTTGGCAGCTGTTCCAGCAGCCGCTTGTGTTGTTTTTCGGCTGTTCGTTTTTTTCTTTCCTCTTTTTTTTTTTTTTTTCTCCACCTTGCATTTCCTTTTCTTTGTTTTTTTGATGAACCGGTTCATATTTTTAACATTAATGTGAGATACAACTGCTGTAAAAACGTAAGAACGGGAACATTATTATATCTTCAAGAGTTTTATTTTTGTTCCATTGTCGATTTCCGAGGTTCTTTTTGTTTTTTTTAATTTGTTTTTTTTTATTATTTTTTTTATGTTTTACAACTGTTTTCAGCTGTGAGTAGCAGGAGCTTCCATTCTCCAAACGATCCTCAAAAGCCCTTCCTTCCTTAGTTAGGACCTGATAACCTGGTATTCCTCAAGCACCTGAAACTGGCAGCTATTATCTTGGTCTTTGTGTGTTTGGGGAGTTGTTCTGTGACCACAGCTTAAGCACCACTCAGCCTTCTAGCCACCTAAGCCTAACTAAATCCAGCCAGCTCTAGCCTGGTCCAGCCCAGTCCAGCCTGCTCCGATTATTTGGACAGGGTAAGGAAACTGAAACGACTCTCATCATTTTACTGTTTTTATTTGTTGTAGATATGTTAAAATGTATATTTTTTTTCCTCCTCAGATACTCAGTTCTGTGTGGACGTGAGGAATATGACTGCTGAGACTCTAAACTTCGGCCCAGAATGGTAACTACTGGTTCTTACACGAACGTGCTCCAGTTCTGTGTACAGCCATCCATGTTCTCACATCGTTATTGTACGTTTGTCCTTTTTTTCTTCTTCTTTTTTTTAGCTTTTGAAGTGAAATATTTTTGCTTGACACCAACAGAACATCCAGAGAGCGAGTTTACTTCAAGACTTGATTTTTAAAAAATGTTTTTACTCAATTTATCAACATTTCAAAGCACAACAGCTTAAACTTCTTGACTGGAAAGGTTGAGGCAGAAGCATTAGGTTTATATTCATGCACACATGAACGTGCACTAAGCTACCCCTCATAAACATTTAAATATGTAAAAAATAGCATTTTGTTATGAAAATCACTAAGCCAAAACATTGAAAAAGGAAAAACATTTCCTTAAAATAACTTTAGCTATTTATGATATGTAAAGTAATGTAAAAAAAAACTTCCTTCATTTTCTTCTTCTTTTGTCTATCCTGGCTTCATCCATCCATACTGCTCTTTTTTTCCTGCATCCCTCTCTCTTGTCCTTCCTTCCTCATCCTGTGTCCTTTCTTGCATTCTCCTTCCCTTCCTCCCTTGTTTCCTCCTTCCACCCTTTCATCATTTCTTCCTTTCCTCCCCTCTCTTACTCCTCCTTTCTTGTTTTTTTTCCTGACTCCATATTTACATGAACATCGTTGTTTTTACCCTCTTTAATGAATGAAAAACCCAGAATGGTCCCTGAATTAACTTGAAACTGACAAAATAAATAGAAATTTATTGAAAATGAATCAATGAAACTCAGACATTGGCTTTGAAACGTAGTTCAACAGAATCATTTTAAACGACAAACTAAAATGTGTAGAAACCTTTTTCTGCAGCAGTAAACGGGTCAGTTTGTAGTTAAAATGTTGCATGTTTAAGTTAAAACGTAGGTAGGTCTTTGTGCCGCTGCTCTTCCAGCCCCTCTGGCTGGGTGTGCAGCCGTTCTGAGTGGGCCGGTTGGGGCTTGGGTGGGGGTTATCCCTCCGTCTCCGTCGCTCTGGGACGTCTGTGTGCGTTCCTGACTCTCCGCCAGCCTCGCAGGATATTCCCCTCCTCGCACATCTGCAGCAGCTCTCCTCGTTTTAATCCGGCGTCGGAGCCGGATCAGCGCGCGGCGCTCGCCGCTAACAGCTGCCCGACCCGAATGTTTACAAGGCTTTTTATGCCCGTCGGCTTTCCAGAACTATTCGCATCGTTTGAGGCTGTGCTGCCTGGCAGCGGGCCGGGCGACATGTCGGTCACTGCGGCTGAACTCAAAGTGAAAACGATCCGCCTGCCAGGATTGAAGGTCTGCCGGAGCAACTATTACGCAGAAGATGATGTTTAGATTAAAATGTGTGGAAAGCGTTCCAGTCGTTTCCCTTTCATTAGAGTAAACACAAGTGGAGAGCCTGAAGTCACCTGGACGGGTTTGGAACCGCTCCAGGATTCCCATGCAGCCTGGAAAAGTCTGGAATTTAGTTTACTTCCAAATAGAAGAGTAGAGTAAGATATCAGTACCTTCTGGCTCTTCTTTTCTTTTCTTTATATTTTCTATTCTTTCTGTTTGTGCATTTCATTTCCTTTCTTCTTTCCTTCCATCTCCTTCTGCCTTCCTTCCATCCTTTTTCCTTTCATTTTTGTTTTCTCCCTTCTTTCTTTCCTTCTTTCACTTCTCTTTCTTCCTTCTTTGATCCTTTCTCTACTGTTTTCCCTTTCTAGATTTCCTTCCTTCCATCTGTCTGTCTTCCCTCCACCTTTTTGTGTCAGTCCTTCATTTTGTCCTTCCTCCTCCTTTCTCCTGGTGCCCTTCGTCCTTCCTTTTCTTCCTCCTCTCGTTGCCTCCTCCCCTCGTTCCTCGTAATAAACCTGAACAGCTGCAGATAAATCTGGATTTTCCCAGTAATGTGTAGGAATGCCGCCTCTCCCCTCATGATGCCGGTCGCCTCCGTCCAGCCTCTCCTGAAGCTCTCTTTACCTTTTCCATTCCTCTCCACCTCTGAGCCGCATCTGGTTCTGATATGAGCCTGCTAATCAATGCCAGCCTCTGTGCCGGCTGTGAATGGAGCCATTGTTGAGCCCTTGGAAAGCGGCCCACTTGTAATGGCTTATTAAAATGAAATCTTCGGCTCGGAAAGCCGCTATGTCATCGGAGCGGAGCCGAGCCTGTCGCTAGAACCCGACAAATTAGCGCAGGATGGATGGTTGGGAAAATAAAGGCTAAAATAAACGACAGAGGAATACAACTTGTTTTATAGCTTTGTCTCACATTTTCATGAGAAACATGATCGTGTGTGTGTGTGTGTTTATCTTCCTCCAGGCTTCGTGCACTGTCCAGTGGGGGGAGTGTGACGTCTCCCCCTCCTTCCCCCGCCATGCCAAAGTACAAGCTGGCCGAGTATCGCTACGGCCGAGAGGAGATGTTAGCACTTTATATCAAAGACAACAAGGTCAGGACGTTGCACATCAGCTCTGCGTTTCCTTTGAAAAACTGTACAAGAAACCCAGAGACCTACAAACGGCTCCGCAGCGTAGAAAGGCCGTTTCTATTTCTGTTTTTGTGTCTCTGCAGGTCCCAGAGGACATGCAGGATAAGGAGTTTGCTGCTATTTTGCAAGATGAGCCCATGCAGCCCCTGGCACTGGTGCCTCTCACCGAGGAGGAGCAGGTCTGCCTCCTCACACACACATCTACCCACACACACACTCTCTCTCACTGATAATCTAATGTTGGCACGTTCCAAAGCTTGTTTTATCCACTAGAGCCACTAATCTAAAGAGAGGGCTCACATTTCTGACATTCTTCTGCCTTCCTCCTTCCGCTCTGTCTGCAGAGGAACTTCTCCATGTCTGTGAACAGCGCGGCGGTGCTGAGGCTCATGGGAAAGGGAGCGGGAGGGCCGGCACCCGCGGGAGTCGTCCGTGGACGAGGGGCCGCTCGAGGTGGGCGAGGTGAGGTCACACCTAAAGCCCAACTCTTCAAGCCGAGACGTTTTAGGCCTCGCAGCTTTCCGTACTTTACCCAAACTGGGTCTGAACTTGCTGACGTCCAGAAGTTTTCCAGGTTTTGTCACATTGAAAGGGGCTGGACTTTGGGTGGGGGTTATCCCCACTGGCAGTTTTCATGATGCACCGACATGAAAAGTAGGAGTAGCAAATGTTTTCCAGTTCGACAAACCAGGTTCAGAAGTGACCTAATTAGTTAAACTGATTCGCTCTGAGTGTAATTTAATCTCTGCATAAACGCAGCTGTTTGGTGAAGGCCGTAGAGGCCCGTTAGGTCAGTAGTGATGAAGGAACTCAGTGAGGACACCAAACTCATGGTGGGAAGCTGGTCAGAACTGATAAGAAAATTGATTCAACTAAATAAATGTGGAAGAAAACCGGCATCCATATTTTATGAAAAAGCTTATTTTTTCTGTATTTTAAAATCTAAAAGCAGATTCTTTAAAAATAACACATTTCCTGAAGTAGAACTTTATATAAAAATACTTAAAAAAATAAAAGTATTTTATTTTAACTTGTATTTTATTTACAAGTTAAGACAAGTTACAAGTCTTAACTTGTAACTTTAAACAAGTCTTGTCTGTGGCTCTTGTGACTGTAAAGGTTCTGTCACATCTCAATAAAATATGTTGTTTATAGTTGGAAGATAACAGAAAAAATGAAGGGCTGTTTATGCTTTTTATATTTGTCCATTTTTTTTCCCTCTTAAATCTTCCAGCAGTCACTTCTTTTCTCACAATGATCCAGTTTTTGCTGAAAGTGTTTTTTTTTTATTTCTACAGTGTTTCATCGTCTACAACTAAATCCAGTGCACATAAAACCTGATCTGTACTATAAAGCTTTCTGCATACAGTATAAAAACACTAATCACATGCAAGAGTTAAGAAATATCCACACAGCAAGTTAGATATATTTATAAAATTGTTAAATTAGCTTATTAAAGGTATCGTTTCGTAGTGCATGTTGGTTTTAAGTATAAATAATTGTCTTAAATTGGTTCTAACGTTACCGCGCTGAAACGCACAGAAGCCCTGCACCAGATTAGGAATAAAAACGGAGCGGCTTAGCTCCAGAGCACTCAGGATAAATCAGCCAAAGCTTCCAACATCAACAGTGTGAAACGCCTGGCTGAAACTACAATGGCTATTATTTGAGAAAAGTAAACCAGTTATTTAAGGCAGCTCCTCAAGTGTTTGTTTCCTCTTTCATCCGCCATCTTGAAGCTGCACGCTTCCTCTCTGCGTGTGTAAATAAACGTCCTTTGGTCCCGCCACACCTGCCTGAAACCCCTGAGCTCCAGGAACTCACCTTCTCCTCCACGCAGCGTAAACACTCGGCCTCCGCTCCAGCGGCGTGTGAGACGAGCTGCCGGTTAAACCGCAAACAGCCTTCTCAAAGCCGAAACTAACGTCAAATGTTTGGTTTGGCTCAGTTTGAGAGTTTATTTCATACCAAAAGGATTAAAATCTGTTGAGGGGGGGGGCAGAGAAAAGAGCAACAATGTGTGGTAACTGCTTTCAGAGCGCCAATTATTTACGCTAACCAGACGAACCGAACTGAGTTTGTTTTAACCGATCCGAGGATTTGAAATAACAACGTCTCACTGTTTATATAAGGAAATATTTGTGGCTTTGCAGCGACAGACAAAGCTCAGTTCATTCTTAAAGGCTAAACGGTTCTCAGGAACTGGGAGGGAGAAATTCCATGTCATCTTCATTTTTGGGCAGAAAAATATCAAATAAACTCCCACATGTACTTAAGATGAGTTTTAAGTACAGAGATGAGTCATCTGTATGTTTTTTCTTGATTTTTTTTTTTTTCTGTCAGCCTGAGAAATAAAGAAAAAAAGCTATTTAAGATAAAAAAGAAAAATAGATGCTTAGTTTGTCAGATTAAAATGTCTTGGGTTGATTTACAAAATGTAAGTTACATTTAAATACTTTACTCAAATGTCTTAAATTTTATTGTGGCAGGACTATTTAATCTCTTATGTATTTTTTTTTTCTGATGGAAATTTTCCGTCAGGCAAACACTTGAGTCACCTGCAAACAAAACCATTGTGTCCTGTGATTTGAGGTGGTTGTAGCTACTGCTAACCAGCTGCTGTTATACTCTCCATAGCTGGCTAGCTTTTCCGTTCAGTTTTAAATTTATCGCCGGTTGGCTGACACTACTGCTGCCGTTACCTTTTGTACGTTTCTGCTGCTCTACAGGTCATAAAATGTCCTTGTTGATGGTCTTCTGCAGGTTGCAACAACACCAATTTAAGACACTTTAAAGATCTTAAAGTGTCTTAAATTGGCGTTGTTGCAACCTGCAGAAACCCTCTGTGGTATCTCGATGTTGTCACGAGGAGCTGAACCACATTTTCATCCACCTTGTGAGGAAGGCATCGTTCCACAGCGAAATGCACAGCGCTCTGAATATCGAGCTTGTCAGCTTTTGATCCAAACAGCTTGTTTGCAGCCAGAGCTCTAATCTGAGCCAGAGCCACTTCGTTTCGTTCCAGCGCCGGCTGTTCTTCATGTGTTCTGTTGTTTTTCCGTCCGGCCGTTAACCGTTCCGCTTGTTTGTCATGAAACGCAGGCCGCGGCCGCGGCGAAGGGGGATTCTACCAAAGAAGTATTGAGGACACCGAGGTGGGATTTGGTCGCAACGTCCGAGAGATTCACCGTAGCCAGAGCTGGGACGACCGGTAAGAGGAGAACTAAACGGGAAACGGTTCAAATAAAGCTTTTTTTCTTGTCCTGTGTGGTTATCTCACATTCAGAGGGATAATTTCCCATCTACCTTTACTGAAATTACACATTTTCTCCGTTCACGAGTACAAAAGAATCGGGTTGCTGCTTTGATCCAAATTTTCTCCTCCGGCACGAAAAGCGAACGATGCTGTGGCCTTTATCTCCTGTTTGTTCCGTAACCGGTGCAATTTCCCCCCCCCATTTCCCGCCTTTCCTCAGGGGCGAGCGGCGGTTCGAGAAGCCGCTGCGGCGGGAGGTGGGGCGGCCCAGTTTCGAAGAAAGCAGCGGTCCCGTGGGTCCCGCGAGGAAGGAGTACACAAGGGCTGACAGCGACAACTGGCGCACCCTCCGCGAGGAGCAGGAGGAGGACGAGGGCGAGCCGGGAACCAACTGGAGGCTCTGTGGACCCCGCAGGGACGGTGGGAGACATTCAGTGAAACCTCAACGCTTTATTAGGAGGGGGAAAAAAATGAAACTGCAAATGAAAGAAGCTTTATTGACCAAAAACTTTAGATTATTGTGTTGCCACAGAAACTGATTTCAGCTGCAGTTAATTGATACAAAAGCCTTGAAAGTGTAAGCACTCTTTTATTTAACACATATTTATTAGAGTCGTCACCTAATACATAAATATTAGTAAATTATTTAAGAAGAACCGATGACAGCAGGCTGATTAAACATGCGCGCTGTGAGTGCTTTCACTTATTTACTGATAAGTGAACCTGATGTGCCTGCAGTGAATGTTTTGTTTGCTTTGCTGCGTGGCAGTCCTGCACATTAAGGAGTCTATACTGACACCTAGAGGTCGTAAAGAGATTTTCACAGGACGAGTTGTAAACCGTTACATTTAGGAGTCCTGCAAGTCTGGACGTTAAAATCAGTGTTTTCCAGGTCTGAATGAACATCCAAAACAGTTTGGTACCAGGGCTGAAAAATATGGATATAGACTGTTTTTTTTTTAAAAGTATTTTCCAGATCTAGTTTTGTCAAGTATTGCCAACATGTAAGATTTTGTTCAGTTATTTTTAAAGATGTATAAAAAAAAATTTAATTTTGGAAAAGTTGGGAGTTTTAAGCAGGAAATTGCTCGTCCAGCCACAGACAGTCAGAGACGTTTACTTGCATCATGTAGAGAGTTGCCATGGCGTCAGCTTTTTCTGCAGCTAACGTGTGAAGTGCTAAATTGAGCATTTTCAGGAAGTGGCACTTCTTTAGAACTGACACCTGCAGACGTTTCTAGGTTAAATGCATCCCAGAGACTCGTCTCAGATTTAAATTCTGAACTGAACTACCGTTTCTCATTACCGCATCAGACTGATCGTACGGTTTTCACATTGCGGTTTCGCAGACGGTGGTCCGCGCTCAGCGGGCTGGCGGGACCACAGCGGTCCAGGTGAAGGTCGGCGAAGGAAGTTTGATTTCGACTTCCGGGACTCGGAGGGTCACGGCGCTGGCCGCCGTCGCGCAGGAAGCGAGGGATTGGAGGACGACCGGGACGGCCTGCCGGAGTGGTGCACGGATGAGGAGGACGGAGAGATGGGGACGTTCGACTCCTCCGGGGCGTTCATGCCCTTAAAGGTACGTGTGGGGGGGAAAAAAAGACTTTCCTGATCCAAATATTCTAATTTTTCAAACCTGGAAGTTTTTGTTCAGTGATGTTGAATCAATGCTTTGCTGGCCTTTACAAGGTGATTTGTAAAGGCCAGCAGTGCTGCTTTAATGCCGCCCACTCGGGATGAAATTATGAAACGAGAATGAAAAGCTTCTTGTGACATTTCATGATTCATTCAGAGAGTTTTCTACTGGGACAAACCTTCAGATAGAATCGTCTCTTCATTTAAAACAAACCTACTTCAGATCTGTAATAATACAGATCCTAAAGTACTTATACATCTTTTGGGAGAAGGAGGTTTTGATTGATGTTGCTGTGCAAATGTTCCCCTAGTGAATCATGTGACTGTAGTTTCAGTTTTAAAAAAGATCACAGCCTGTTTTTATTTCCCTTGCAAAGCTACTATATTCTATGCACATTTTTTTTTATTAATCCAATTAATCTGGGTTTTCTCCTACTTTTTACAACGCTGACCTCCTGCCCGTATCACTTGACGTGCGCTGTGCCCAGACAGAGAGCAGCCAAAACACGAGTTGTTAAATTTTACAACGTTCAAATTACGGACCACCAATAATTACATTCTGATCTGCCGATTCCGATTTTGGTTGATGCCGTTTTTTTTTTTAAGTTACCGAGTTGGCAACAGAGGAGTGACTATTGTTTACTGTCAGTAAAACTTTCTCGCAGCAGAGCAAAAGAGGACAGTAACTGATTTTGACTTTTGCAGAGGCGGATCAGATCGGCTTCACATTTAGCCATCAGTTGATCACCGATTTCCCAAAATCTGCGTCAATTTATTGTCGCACCCTGAGCTAAATTGAACCTTTTGAATTTTTGAAACAACTTTTTCTATAAGTTCTGTTTTCACAGACTGCAAATATGTTAGTATGAACAAGTTGAGTAAACATGCCAGCCTTAACCAATCATAAAGGCAGCAGAACCAAGACACGAGTTTATTGGAGCTGTCCAGAAAAACTGTAATATTTTAAAAGCCGTTAAGTGAGTTCAGTGATTTTAATGTACTTTAATGCAGTTATACTGTCATTTTTAATGTACTGAAGTGGGAATATTTTGCAAAGCGGTTTTTCTTAAAGACCCTGATTGGGCCGTCTCCAATATTTAGATCTATGAGCCTGAGGTTTGTTGTTAAAGTTTGTGACCTACTTGTTTTTTTTCCTCTCTTTTGTTCCGTTAGAAGGGTGGTAAGGAGACAATCCTGGAGGAAGATTTGGACTTTAAGGGCATCGAGGACGAGGATGAGGACGACGGCTTCCTTGATGCAGAGAGGAACAATGGAGACGGAGATAAAGACAAGGGTGAGCAAAAATAAAACGGAATGCCTCGTAACCCAGAGAGAAATAAAAAGGAAAACCCAGCGATCCTCATTCAAACTCTCTTTTCTGCTCGTTTAGAGAGTAAAGACTCCCTTCCTGCTGCAGGGGAAGAAAAGATGAAGCCAGCACCACCTTCCTCCTCCTCCTCCTCCTCCTCCCCCCCAGCCCACTGTGCCCCGCCATCACTGGAGCTCCAACCAGGAAGTGCTGGTCAGGTGATGGAGAACTCTCAGATGAACAACAGCCACTCTGTCAAGGCCGGCAGCGCCTCTGCTGATGGTGGGTTTCTAAAGACAGAAGCTTCTGGACGTGTTCTTTTTAAATTATCCTTAGTTTGTTTAATCTGAAGTAACGTCTACTTGGATTTAATCTGAAACCAGGTGTTTTTATTTAGTCTCCAAATGAGGGACAGGTTCTGATTTGTGGCTCTGGTCGTCGAGGATTCAGTTTGGTTTTGACTGGGTATATTTTTATCCCCGGTCATCCAACACTCTGTTTACTGTTTGTGCTGGACGGGCCCCGGAGCCGGCAGGCGGCTCTGCTGCTCCTCATCAGACGAGCTAAAAATAGCCGCCATTGTTGAACTGCTTGTTGTTTTTTTGTTTTTCCCTGTGTCAGACCTGGCCTCGGTGGGGGGCTCCAAGGCCCAGCTCAGCCCCAGCGTCGCCGCCGGCAACGCCTCCACCTCCTCCTCCAGCCTACCTCCCCCACCCTCCTCCTCTGCTGCTCCGCTCCTCCCTCCTTCTGGAGGAGACCCCGAGGACGATGAAGGCCTGAAACACTTGCAACAGGTTTGGATACCAAAATAAATAGATTGAGTATTTCCAGCGTTGACGTCGCAGCCAGCCCGACTGGTGTGTGCAGTTTGGCTGCGGGCGCCCAGCGCCGGGCTGTTTGTGTAAACAGGAGGGTCTCCGTGTTGCTGCTTCCAGCGTCAGGAGGAACACGCAGTCCCCGACACATCGGCAGCGACAGGAACGAGATTAAAAAGAGTGAAATGAAAAAACAACACGGCTCCATTCCCAGACTGTTTGGAAGCTGTTTTGGTTTAAGAGCCCGGCCGTCTCAAAGCTTCTAGAAATGTGTAGCTCATCTGTTTAAAGTGAAAAGTAAAGAAATAGAAGATTGTTTCTGTCTGACTTGCTCTGTCATATACTTCCTCCAGTCATTCCTTTTTTTTTGTGTCCTTTTATCCTGGCTTTGTGTTTCTTCAATTTTTTGTCCTTTTCTTCCTTTGTCCTTGTGTCCCAACATGTCGTTTTTGTCTACCCTGGATCTGTATCCTTCTTTCTTTTTTCCTCTTCCTGGTCTTATATTCCTTCCTTCCTTTCTCTTTGTCCTTGTGTCCCTTCATTTATTTATTTTTTTGCCTACTCAAGCTTTGTCTTTACTACCTTGAGTCCTACTTCCTTTCCTGCACCCTCCTTGTGTCTTTCCACCTTTACATCCCACAGTAATGTCATATTCAGGCCTGGCAGGTTGGTTTTCGGGTTGCGCAGTGGAAGCGAATGCTAAGTGCTGACCCTGCTCTGACCTTTGCGCAGGAGGCAGAGAAGATGGTGGCGTCGCTGCAGGACACGTCCATGGAGGAGGAATGCTTCACGCATTCTCTGCAGCAGCAGCAGGAGAGCCGGAACACGGCGGCCGCTCTGCCGCTGTCTCACGAAGCCGCCATGAAGTGGTTCTACAAAGACCCGCAGGGAGAGATCCAGGGTACGGTTTCGTCACTGCGACCTGTGAACGTGGCTAACCTGACCTGCAGCCTAACCTGCGAGTCTCCTCTGCTCTGCAGGGCCGTTCACTACGGTGGAGATGTGCGAGTGGTTCCAGGCCGGCTACTTCACCATGACGCTGCTGGTGAAGCGGGGCTGCGACGAGGGCTTCCAGCCCCTGGGGGACGTCATCAAGATGTGGGGCCGCGTGCCCTTTGCCCCCGGGCCCTCGCCACCGCCGCTGCTGGTGAGGCAGCTCCCACCAACGCAGCGCTCGCAGACCAGCCGGGGGTCCGCTGGGACGGTGGGTTTCACCCCAGACCGAGGGGTTTCTTTCCTCTTCAGCTCAGAAACGGAGCAGGATGTTTTACTCACCAGCATCGTGTTTAACTGCAGTCAGTCATCCTGACGCACGGCTGGGCTGTAAAATGATTTTTACCCATTGAAATTTTGGTTTTTGAAGATAAAACTTTTGGAAAATGTATATTTTTTCCCTAACCAATGCACTGTTTAGGTTTCCAAAGTTCAGAGTGATTACAGCACACTCAGGGCAGCCATCTTGTTTAACAAACGCATTTTACAGCTTCTATTTATTTGGACTTTGAATTTGAATTCAGGTCAGCTCTGCTGCAGAATACAGGCAATAAGTTTTATTTTCTTATTTACTCATCAGGATAATGTTGTAGTTTTACCAGAATTAAGTCTCACTTTTACAAAAACTTCACCACAACAAAAAAGTACAAACCATTAAAATGAGGAATGTTAAGCATCTTGTGAACTTTGGTATGTGTTTTACTGACAATAATTTAAGACTGAAGTGGTAAAGCTAAGTATTTGTATTCAGTTTTATCAGTAGCAGTAATTTGAACTGATTGTGGAAATGAGTGTTGTGGAAAAAATTACTTTAGCAAGAGTCTGGATGAGAAGAACTTATAAATTTATTAAAACCTCGCAAGGTGAGAACAGAAATACAGAGTCAAGGGGTCTGTCAGTCTGGATCTGGCTTCCTTTCATAGGTTCTGGTCAGAGAAGGGAGACTTGATTGGACAATAGGTGTGAATCCCTGATTGTTCTGTGGAGCCCAACACAGATGGTCTGGCCATTTGTTAAGGAAAGGAGGTTGTTCTCTGATGCTGAAGATAAGTTCTACGATGGGGGAGCAACACTTAGATGGTCTCCAGGATCAAGGAGCTCCTGCTGTTATACGGCACCGTAGAGGTTTATATGAGAGCAGCTTGACCAATCTCATGATGAGAGGGTTGAGGGGCACGTCATCATAAAATGAGTCTGTTTGGAAGAAAGATCTACACAAACTGAGCTGGAAAAGTCAGATGATTAATAACTGTGTAGAAGTTGTTGTTTTTTTCTCATCGCAATAAATTTTCAAGATGTTTTTTGCAAATTGCATCTTTTTTCTGCTAATATTGTGACTATATTCTGGTAATTAAACAAAAATTCTCATGGTTGGGCCCTAAAACGCTGCCATTCAACTCCCAGAAGGGATGATTTGAATAAAAGCCACGTTTTGAAAATATAAAATTTCCTGTTTTAGAGAAGAAAGTGAAGGAAAAAAAATCTCCCAGCCCTACTCTAGTGTTAAATTGAAGGATCTTTTATGGTGATATTTATTTCATTTTTTTGTGTGATGAAGCTGAAGATGCGTCGTCATGACAGCCGAGTTTCCATGTTGGCTCTTTCAGGGTAACCTGGACCAGGAGCGGCTAAAGAAGCAGCAGGAGCTGGCGACGGCAGCTCTCTATCAGCAGCTCCAGCAGCAGCAGCTATTCCAGCTCATTAACAGGTTCCCTCTCAGTTTCCCTCTGGAATAAATCAAGTTTTATTGACTGAATTGAATGTTTAGTGACTTAGCTGCCGTCTTCTGAGCCATGTGGACCTGTATGTGTGCTGCAGGTGCAGTGAGCAGGGTATGATGCCTTCGATGAACCGGTCGATGTCGGTGCCAGATACAGGGCCCTTGTGGGACATGCATACCTCAGCTTCACAGTCGTCAGGTACAGTCGGGACCGTTCGCTTCACGATGCAAACAAAACATCTGATGAAATGGAAACTAATCGTTTTTATTCCCACTCAGGCGGTGAAGCCAGTCTTTGGGACTTAACGATGAATCCTAATACTCAGGGTCCAACTCTTGAACAGCTTCAGAAGGTCAGTTCCACTCAAACCGTGCTGTGACTGTGTCGGTGTTGACGTACAGAGTGTGGCTGCCGTCGTATCGCCCAGCCGCAGTTTGCGTTCACGCGTGTTAAGACGTTTCTCTTTATTTCGACGTCTGCCCGTCAGCTCCAGGAGAGGCGAGACGCCGAACTCAGGGCGAAGCGCGAGGAGGAGGAGCAGCGCAAGAGGAGGGAGGAGAAGAGGAGGCAGCAGCAGGAGGAGCAGAAACGGAGGGAGGAGGAGGAGCTCTACAGACGCAAGCAGGTGAGGAGGAGCAGCTTTAACGATCAGAAATCACAAAGGTGGCGAAATACAGTCTGATCACATGTAACTCAACAACAAACTAAGCAAAGACTATTTTAATGAAACAAAGTAATCGGATTGTTTTTTTTTTGTTTTTTTTATAGGAACGGGATTTTAAATCCAAAACTTGAAATGTTTTTTTTCTTGTTAAATGAAAGGCAACCAGTTTGCTTATTATTTTGGACTCGATTGAAGAAAATTGAAAAATTTTATGTAGTTTATCAGCAATAAAAACACGATTTAGGTCCGTCTTGATTTGGAAACGCTGGTTGTGTTAAGACGGCAATTAAAAATCTGCTTAAAAGCAGATTTGGGTGCACCAGGGTGCTCTTTAGAGTACAAATCAATGACCAGTTACTATGACAACAGAAAGGATGATCACTTTGTGTTGCATCTCACATTTTTGTTGGTAGATTTGAATTTAAAACTTGTAGTTTTGTCCTAATTTATTTCATTTTTGTTTTCAGTGGGTCGCACAAAATCAATCCTGTGGCTTCAAATGGGACCCAATTCCTACTTTAATTAATTAAATTTAATTCCTTTAACATTGAGGCATTCCTCAGCTGTAACTTTTTATTAAAAATCACAGATTAACTTGCTAGAGCTTATCATTTATTTCGGTTATAAATTTAGTTAATCTTTAAAAGTCTTGAATGTATCTTGCAGTAACACTGAGTAAATTAAACCGTATTTCTCAGTTTAAAAACATTATATAGTAAAATATAATTTCGGCTGTTTTTAAACGGTAAAACATGTTTTGTGTGTTTTCTGCTGGCAGCAGCGTCAGCAGCAGGAACTGCTCATGAAGCTGCTGCAGCAGCAGCAGTCGTCCCAGCAGCAGGGACCTGCAGTGGGGGGCTCAGGGTGGAGCAGTTCGCCCTCTTCTGGCCTCTCTAAGGCGGGGAAGTCTCTGACCATGCTGGAGATGCAGGAGGCCGAGCGCATCTTAAAGCAGCAGCAGCAGCGAGCGCAGCAGCAGAGAGTGAGTTCCTGCTTTTGGCACGAATGTGGGACGTTGTTGGAAACAGAACACACACCGACGCATCTTGTTTAATATTCTCCTCGCAGCATCCTGGGCTGTCCATGGGGAGCTCCTCCATGGGCGGGCAGTGGGCCGACGGCGTGGGCATGTGGGGCGGTCCCGGCGGTCTGGAGGGCAAGGGAGGAAGCGGCGGCTCCTCCAGCAGCATGGGGATGTGGGACGAGGCGGTGAAGAACCAGGCCGGCCTGCGGGGGAACACCAACAACAACCTGGGCCTGAAGAACAGCCGCAGCAGCCCCTCTCTGACGTACGCCACGCTAAACGGTCCACTCGGCACCAGATGAAACCCACTCACCCACTTCTTCATCACAGATCCTTTTGTTTTCTCTCGTAGCGATCAGTACATGATGCGCCGCAAGAGAACGGAGGACGAGGAGAAGCTGCTGAAGCTGCTGCAGGGCATGAAGCCTCAGGACGGCTTCACCACCTGGTGTGAACAGATGCTGCACGCTCTCAACACCTCTGCCAACAACTCCTCTTCCTCTCTGGATGGTAGGAACGCCACCATTTTACCTATTAAGCTTTGCCAAGAGGCGGTGGGAGTTCAGCCTAAATTTAGTTCAGCGCATTGAAGACTCGTCACTATCATCTGCACCGTTGCTGCTATTGATTGCAGCCCTGCAATCTCACGTTTCGGGTTATTTTCGTAGCCCGGCTCTGACATTTTGTGGATGTAGAGTCGTCTGCCGAACATGAATGACGTCAACGTTTAACAGTTTGAAAGAAACTGAGCTGAAGACAGAAAAGTGATAACTTTACATATGGATAGGGCTGCAACTAACGTCTATTTTAGTAATCGATTAATTCTTCGATTATTCTGACAATCAGAAATAGATTAAAAGATGCAAATAAACACATAATCCAATTTCTTTTTTTTTTTTTTAAACCATCACTGTCATTTTTGTCAGTTTGGGCTAAAACAGATAAAGGTTTTTATCTTGGGGGCAAAATTTATATATATTTTTTGTACAGATTTGCTTAATTACTGCGCCGAATATGTTTTTTTTAATCAACAAATGGGCTTTTTATTGAATCTGTACACTCCACTTAACAATTAATCGACTACCAAATTAGTAGACAATCATTTCAGTAATTGATTTACCACAATTAATCAATTCAGCACTACATAACTGAGACATTAGTGGATAGCAGACCACCTGTAGGAAAGTCGTGATGGCAAAGTGTCAAACTCTGATTTCATTAGTAAACAGGAGATTTATCTGGTGGTTTGTTCAGGCAGCAGGAAATCAAGACATCTGTAGCTTGGAGGCGTAACGGTCCGCCACTCCACTCTGATTTATACCGTCAGAGTCGATGGCTATGAATGTCAAAGACGAAAACAACAGTTTGCAGCTGACTTTAGAGTGGTCCTGCTGCCTCTGGTAACCATGGTAACCTTGTGTGTCCGTCCAGTCGCCACCATCGTGGCGTACCTGAAGGAGGTGGAGTCTCCCTATGCAGTGCTGGATTTCATCCGGTCCTACCTTGGGGACACAGTGGAAGCCAAAGAGTTCGCCAAACAGTTTCTGGAGCGACGTGCCAAACAGAAAGCCAACCAACAGAGACAGCAGCAACAGGTACGGCTTTTATAGACGATGCATTTCAGAAATATGACGCAGAATGAAGCTTGTTGAGGTAGAAATATTAGACTTTATTTCTAGTAGCTGGACAGCGTAGCACATATTTTCCTAATATCTTCCAGTCTTGCATACAAAAATATGTTGTTGATATATCTTAAGCATTAATTTTGATAATTGACGATTTTCACAAAGGTGTGAAGTTCTGATATATGAAAGGATAAAATCTAGGTAAAAAAAAATCAATTCTAATGATTCACTTGGATAAAGTCATTTATCATGTTGTTGTATTGAATCTATGAAAGCTTGTAATTAAATGTTCAGAAATGTTTTATGTCCTTTCTGGTTGTTTGTATTTCCAGCTATCAAAAGAAGTGGGTGGGTTGAACATGAACTTCCCTCTGCAGGTAAATTCACTTATTTCTACATGCGCACAGTAATGGACATTAATGACTCAGTGGTTTGGTGGGATCTTTTATTGCTCAGTTTTCACAAGGCTGCTGCATATTTTAACTCAACAAACACAAAGATCACATCAGATTCTTTAGTTTTTAAAACATTAGTAAATAAAGGCTTTTAGAAAGACAAAAATGTTCTTTTAGAAACATATATACACTATTTGATACAAATGAGTTGTTCTAGCTGATAGAAGTGAGGTCATGTGGGTAACTTCTGTTTGTTTGTTTCACTTTAAGGACTCAATGCGAGGTATGAATCCAAGCACTCTGCAGTCCATGTTTCAGGCCAACCACATGGGCAAAGCTGGTCTCTATGACAACCAGGGAGGAAAGATGAAGAAGAAACCACCCATGATGCTGCACTCTGATCCCAGCATCTTAGGTAAGCGACACCAGCCACTTTGATTTGAATTGAATTGAATTGGGCATGGGCTGTATTTTAACTGGATGAGAAATTTAAACAACATGCTTGTCCGTTTCATTGTGCTGCAGTGACAGTTTGAGATAAATTCAAACTTTCTGTTTGCTTTCCATAAATGTAAAGTTAGAAAAAAAAAAGATCGCTTTAATAAGGAATTACATAATGTAATGTTCATTTCAAAGTTGATTCTTGCTCAAAAGGCTGCACACAAGTGGGTTGACTGGATTGTTTATTTTACACACCCACACACACTTGTGTTTTCTCTCCCTGCAACACCGGGAGCATTAACACAAAGACCAGCAGCCTGTTATAAAACCCAAGCATATTTTTCTAACACATGTAAACAGAGGCTTGAAAATGTTGCACAAAGGGCAGCAATTTTTTCTATTAATACTCACTTCTCCCTTCTCTGTGCAGCAGGGCTGGATGGTACATTTTAACTAATATATGCAATATTTCCATGTGCCTAGAGAGGTTTGTGGTTCTTTATGATGACCACAGGAAATCCAGTTGATTTTTGCTGCCTTGAAAGATTAAAACACGGATAAAAAGCTACAGATAAAAACAGGATTACTCCAAGAAACGGTTCTACATGTTGTTTCTGTTAACACATAAGCATTAACAATGTATTAACTCATAAAGTCAAAAGGATTTTTTATTTTTTATTTCACTTTATGTTCTTTTTGGTGCATGGATGGCATCACTATTACATCACCTTTAAAACCTAATCAATTCAGTCTGTTTTTTTGGATTTCTGACTACAATGGTTCCCCATTAGCCCATTTGTGGTTCAGTATTTGCAGATTTTTTTGTAAAGCAACATGAGAGCTTGAAACATGCTGGTACGCTGCTTCTTGACACGCTACTATGAAACAGCCAATCCAGGAGCACCATGTGTTTTCCTTGGCTGTGATTGGCTGAACCCCAAAGAGTGGCGATGAGGAAGGCTGTAGATGTTAGCTTCTGCAGTAAAAACACCGTTGATGCATTTTAGTGTACACTTGGTGATAAACTACTAAAATAGGGAGTTATGAACATTTTTAGAGGACTGAAGTTCTTACAGAATTTAGCTAATAGCAAAATAAATACTGAAATAATTAGGAATTGAACATACAGTAACTTAAAGTTCTTATTTAATGAAATTTGCACCTAATAAACATCTGTTTAGAATTGTGCATACATAGTCTTGTTTTCATTGTGTACAAATATCATTATTTACTCATTGCATTGTGACATTTTTGTCAGTTAAAGCGAGCAGGGAAGCCTGAACTTTAACTTCCTGGTTATGATGAGTAGAAAATGACTGCAGTGCGTAATAAAATCAGTCCATGCCCAAATACGATACAAAAAAGTGTAAAAATTAAGCGATATGGAACGACATGCGTCAGGCGTGCGTTCATCTTGTAGAAACTGTGTGACCTAAGCGTTGCGTTGTGTGTGTCCCCTGCAGGGTACTCATTCCACAACACGGGCGAATGTCTGAGCATGAATGAGCTGGAGATGGTGGAGGATTACTGATGTGACGCAGCGCAGCAGCAATAGCTACCTGAGGCCTTTTCTGTCTTTTAATCAGACAAACCTGATGACGAATGTGCACTGCTGGGGAACCGGGGGGGGGGGGGGGGGGAATCGGTTTGGGTCGGGTTCTGGAAGGGAAGGGAGCAAAGCATGAGAGACGGTGAAGGGTTAATCCCTTTATCTCCCTCTGGTTATGTAAAAAAAAGAAAAACCAGGGCTCCCTGCTGCACCAGTTGATCACTAGAGCACGGGAGAAGGGGCGGGTGAGCCGGGGGGAGGCGAGGAGGGGGTTTCCTCTGGCACTCAAAAGTTTTAAGCACCTTATTCTGAACTAATGCACTTTATTGAGATGGGATTTGACTAGTTGTTTAATTTCATGTGTACATTTGTGTTTGGAGTCGATGCGCGCCTGACGACGCGTTTTTCGCACACGTCGCCGGCGCGCGTCTGAACTGGAAGCGGGCGGGGGGCTGGGGGGCAGGAGTCGGAGTCGACGGGACGAAGTTAGGTTTAGAAAAGTCAGGGGGACCTTTTTTGTTTCGGTTTGAACCGTATCAGAAAGCAAATCCTTTCTCAAAAGACAAACACTGTTGATATTTCTCTTGTTGAGCATTTTTTTTACATTTATATGAAAAGTAAAGCTATTGAAAAAAAAAATGGAGTATAAAAAACTTGAAGATTTGCACTTGCCTAAAAAAGAAATGACAAAAAAAAACAACAAAAAAATGGGGTTAGTTTATAGCAGTGAATATTTTTGTGAATGTGTGCGAGCGAGTGTGATCCAGTCTGCACAATGTTCTTTTATTTTCCTGTTGCTTACCGAGATGTATGAAACATAAAAGAGGCCATTTTTTTGTCTTATTTTGTTCAGTAATTTCTCCTCATGTTCAGAGTGTGAATGTGTGCACCCCCTTCTTTTTTTTGTTGTTATTTTTTCCAAACGGGGGATTTCATCTGTTTGTTCCGAGAGTGTGACTGAACCAGAGAGAGAGGGCAAACTGCACAAACATCCTTTCTCTCACCAGCTCTTCATCTTCAGATAGATTTAAAAAAAAAAGAAGAAAAAAAAGAAAAAAAGATGCATACATTTTGTAAATGTTAGCTTTGTTCTCATGACATGATGGCTCGCCGCTGGTTTATTTCCCTCTGCTTCTCTGCGGCCCTTAAAGGGCCGGCGGACGCAGCGGATCATGAGGGGGGGAGTTGGCGCGTGTGTGCATCAGAGTGAGATTTTCTAAGTGTGAATGAGAGTGTGTGTGCGCGTGTGTTTTCAGAGGATGTGTTCATTTACTGTTCATAGAAGTGAGTTAAGACTACAGGTACTCATTTTGTATGTGCTTTTTGTTTTCTACGTGTATGAATGCACATTTGTGCCTAAGAACTTTGATATAGGGTGCATGGCCATTGAGACATTAACTCTTTTCGAGAGCGGATGTGACGTGTGTCGGTGCTCAGCACATTGTATGTAAAGTTTGTAAGTTTATATCGTAAATATTTCTAGTTGTCTTTGGGGGGTGGGATGGGGTGTTTGGGTTTTTTTGGGGGTGGTGATCCATCAGAAAGGTTAGTCCAGTTCGTTTTTTTTTTTTGTTCTTTTTTTTTTCCTGGGGTGTGATCACGTTGCCTTTTGTCAGCTCTCGATCTTGTGAATGAAAGGTGTCGAGTTTCTGACTCTGGAAAAAAAAAAATACAGCATCTTTTAATGTGCGACTGCACAGAAATGGTGCGAGAAATGTTAGCATATTGTGTTACTTACTCGTTGTTGCAATTTGATAATGACGAGTTGTTTTTTTTAATAAAAATATATATGGAATATATACATTATATACAAAGTTTAAAAAGTATTTGGACTAAGATAATGAGCACTTGGGGCTGCTATTTTTGTTGTGTGTTAATTTTTTTTATTTCGTTTCCCTAATTTTTTTTGTTTCCTCGCCATGTGAAGTGTGTATTATTTTTTTTATTTTTTTTCTTAAAACATTGAATGTATTCCAAAAAAAAAAAAATTTACAAACCCGTGCTGATAACAGATTTTGTTTTTCCTCAGAAGATTTCAAAAAAATGGAAACAAAACAGAAAAAATAGCTTCTAAGAGGTTTTCATTTACACAGTGGAGGAGAAGAAGAAGAAGAAATGGAAAATAAAAACTCTGGATGGACACAGTTGAACACACTGCCTCTAACAATCCTGGTCGTAGTGACTCAGAATTAAAAAGAAAGGACTTATTTTCTATTCCATACTGGAGCTTTGGTTGTTTACAAGCCACATGGATAACTGTGGGTGCAGTTTTGTTTAATTTTTTAAAGTTTTTTGTTGTCTTAGTTTTTGTTCCCACATGAGACGGGTGGGGTTTGCAAGTGCGCTTCTGCCATATGGACAATGAGTGGTGTTGGGGTTTTTTTTTTCTTTTTTTTTTTTTTTTGCTTGAGGACGAGTGGCAGGAATCTGAACAGCATGGACAAACTCCTCTAAGTCGGCCTTGTTTATATATATATATATATATATAAAAAAAGAAACCTCGAGGATGGACTTTGTTTTCTGGATTGCAGGGCTGAAAGAGCCTTGAGGGAACTGAGAGGCCAAAAAATGAATAAATAAATAAAAAGAGGAGGACACCTGATTTGTGCGCTCGTCTTCACCTCAACCCTCCCACGCACTCGCACCCTGCCCTCACCGACTCACCTATGCACTTTTGTTCATTCAAGCTGTGAGGTACAATTCTGGGGATGGGAGCACAATTTACAACAGGAGGATTGCTACGACTTTTGATTTAAGAAAAAGAAAAGAAAAAGTCGCCGAAAACGATATTCCCAAACTAAAAGCGAGAGACTTTGAGAAGCCCCGTCTTCTCCCACCTCCTGTATATAAGCATATTTTTGTATTACCTTTCAAAGTAGAACGAGAGAAAAAAAAATTGCAAATGGATGAAGGAAAAAAAAAAATTCATGAGACGTTGGACTGAATGTTCCTCATGGAAAAGAAACCAATAGTTTTCAATAGTTTTAAGTGGACTCGCTGTGAGTTTCCCTTTATATGCCACTAACCTTGAAATAATTGGGGGATGGAAGGGAAACGAGCGCGGACTGAGGCGTTGGACATGCCTGCTGGTGGCTGCTTGTCAAAGCGGAGATTGGCGCGGCCACAAGAGTTTGATCAACTCGCACAGTCGAGAGCCGGACGCCGTTCTGAAGAGCCGTCGCCAAGGACGCTTCCACTTGGTTTTCCCCAACCTGACGACTGCCTTCAGAGCGGTGGAGCTCCTGCAGGAGGAGAGCTGCGTGGTAAGTTCTTTTAAAATATCTCACTTCATCAAGAAGCCAGTGTTGGATCTGTTGTTTTCAATTCATTGTCTACAAGTTTTACCCAAAATCTTTTAACTTTTTTTTGGCGTATATCCTGTAGAGTTTGATTTCCAAATTGTTTGCTTTGGGCTCCTCTTCTGGTTTTTATTGTTCTCGACCTTTAAAGACGACTTTTATCGTTACGTAGCGGGTGGTATTCAGTTGTACACCTCTGTTCACCCAAAATCTCTGAATTCGACTAGTGGATGGCAGTTCAGTTTACTTCAATAAAGACGAGCTGAAATATTTTTCTTTACACCAAAAAAAAAGCATGTCTAAGATAAAGCAAACACTTTGGCAAAACTTTGAATGCACATGTCAAGTCTCTGGTTTGTTCCTGTATTCATCATCTGAGAAAATGCTGTTTTATGTACTGAACAGGAAATAATTATTCATGCTTTTGTTTCATCGACTGGTTCACTGTATGTAAAACCTCCTTAGAACGGCTGCAAGTTGTCTCGCAACCGTTCAAAACCTGGGATCCAGGGTTTTTTTTTAATATGTGAGTCCAATCTTAGTGGAACTACACTAGGTCTGATTTATTTCAGGGTGCAAATTAAAATGTTCCTAAACATCCAAGCCAGTTTCCTTTCATTAAAGGGTGACAGTTGAGTTGTTCTCCCAAACTTTGCCAATTGGTGATGCGTCTGGTTAACATGAAAAAAATAAAAGACCCTAGAGACATTCCCGTTGTTCTTAGACTTTTACTGAGATTTTTAGGCTTTTCAGCTGTTCTGAGTATTTGTCCAATGAGAAACGTGCCACAGTCTAAAGGCAGTGGAGAAAAATTCAGCCCCCACCCTTCTAACGTAAGAACCGAGAAGTACGGTAAGCCTTGGTCCAATTTGTGACTTTAAGTTGTTTTCTCTCTTTCTGTGTTTCCTCTTCTCAGGTGATTGGCTTTGCTTTATTTGCTGCCCTCTGTGACGAGGATTTAATCTGCGGCCGACCCATGAATCAGCTCGCCTAAACCTGCTCTTTCGAACTTTTACCCCAAGACACTTGTCTCATCCTCGGACTGGGCAGTCCATCGGCATTATCAGTCGGACAGTTCATCACCCATTGCGTTTGGCTCGGGGTTTGATCAGACGCTCTCAGACGAGGATAAGGGCAAAAAAGAAGAAAAAAAAAAGGTGGAGGGGACGATGGTCTCAACCCACCTCAACCTGAGACCTTGGAGAAATGGTTCGTTGAACAACCGGCCCCATCCTATCTAAGAGGTCTCGGACAAGAAAACGCAGAAAGATGGCGGCTGTTTGAAATCCCTGCTGCCGTGGAACTGGATAGACTTGTACAAAAGCAACAACAAAAAAAGACTCTAAAACACGACTAAACACACAAACACGTCGCAGAAAATTCTGAAGTCCAAAGGAGCGGCAAACATATACACTACATGCACATTTCCAGCGGAAATTACACATAATAGGGATCCATAAATATCAACTCGGAGACACAAACACATCAGCGCTCATCAATTCAAATGGTGTGCTTTGTAAATAGTGTAAAAGTTGGTTTGGATGACGTTTTGTTTGTTTCTCATAGTGGGGTTTTGCTTTATTTCTTTGTTCAACATGCCTTAAATTGTATAGCCGAGTCTTGGATGACTAACTGAAAATGTTCTCGATGATAAAACTTAGTTGGAAACCATCTTGTTAACTGTATTCAGGTTGAACAAAGTTTTCAACAGCGCTTTTTGTTCTGTTGGCTAACAGAATTGTTGTGTATAGACCTCCTTACATAATACATCCAATCACCTTTAAAAGTTACTAGCTAACTACAGAGTAGAGCGACAAGTCTTTAATGTTTTTTTTTTTTTTCTAAATTTGCTGGTGGTTGGATTTTTGTTGCTCTTTTGTTTTCATGAAAACGCAGAGTGAATTTGTTCGGAGTTGATTCGTTTGGTTATTTTCTGAAGGTCTGTACTCTGGGGAGCTGAGCTGACCGGGCTATAACCGACCCCTCACTGTGCTGCGTCAGTATGCAGTTTGGGTAAATTTAGGCATCCTTAAATTTCAGATATGAGTTGGTGCATTTGGACTTTTTACACTCCAGGAGAATTGTACGATTTTTAGAAAAAATATATATATATATACTGTTGTGCAGATGTGAGAGAATCTCAGGCTTATTTATGTGAAAAGGAAGCTTTATAATTGGAGATCCGTTGATTGGGGTTTTCATGACCAATTCTGATACCTGTGTTTTTAAGATCTGGAATCCCGATTCTGCCATCTTCTATTTTTTGTTTAATAACTTTTACAGTAAAGAAAAAAGAAACAATCAGAGCAGATAACTTTATAGATATAATAATTTTGAACGGATGTGGCAGAATTATAAGTTGGTTGCCGTTTATGAGTCAAAGCCAGTGGTAGTTCCCACATTTAACCAAACACAAATACTATTTTGGAAGCAAAACTCTGTAACACTTTTTATAACTTCTCAATAAGATCCAAAGTATTTATTGGTTTATTACCAATCTTAGGCTTCGCTGTTTGTTTGTTTTTTTCATCCCAATCTCTGCCTGTAAGAATTTTGGATTTTAAAGTAGTGATCAAATGTCTGATTGTTTAAAATATACATATATATATATAGCCCAATAATTTCATATTGAACTTGCAGCTGCAGATCAGAGACCAACTGTAGCATCGGTAATGAGATGCAGTGAGTTACTTTTTCTTCTTTTTTCTTTTTTTACAGTGAAAAACTCCAGGGGGCGCTACTCCTTATTGACTGAACATGCAATTACGCTATAAAAAGTTCCTTTAGATGCAACGTTGCAGCTTTTTTTTTTTTTTTTTTTAAGCGCTAATGTTACCTCCCAGTGCTCTCTAGGACATACCGCCCTGGGTGGAGAGCCAACATGGGTTTCAAACATTTCTCTGATTTTCATTAAACTATTGAAGTATGTTAGTTGATGTCAAAAATGGTGGGATTTATTATTTTTGCTGCACTTAATGTGCAGAAATGGAAAGTATCCCTGATCTACCAATCAGAGCTGCTCAAAGGAAAAACTGGCCCGATTCTTTAGATGATTGATTTGCGCGTCTTTGTTTCTATTTGAAGGTGAAGCCTCTTCGGTCCGGGGTGGTCAACTCTGGCGCTTGAGATCTACCATCCTGCAACTTTTAGAAGCTTTCCTTCTCCATCACGCCTGAATTTTCTCAGAAACACGTCATTTAGCTCGGTAGAGGCCTGGTCAGAAGATATTTGTGTTGAAAAGAGATTCACCTAAAAGTTGCAGGACGGTAGCTTTCAAGGACTGGACTTGGCCACCTTTGATCTAAAAAGATTTGAAGCGTCAAGTGTTTTTAATCAGTTCATTTTTGTACCTTTGCTAACTACAGAATGTCATTTTTAATACAAGCAGCTGATGATCATCGCCAACTAGTGTTTAATTATCTTCCTTAGCCATCACTGAGAAGTTGCAGAAGACTCCATTAGGCTAGAATTGTTAAATTGCGACCAAATGTTTTGCATTTGCAAAAAAAAAATAAAAAATTCAAAATCTACTTTAAGCAACTTCAGCAATTAATTTTTTAGATGACATTCGGTAGTTTTAGTGCACTGAAAAGGCTTTTAATATTATATAAACTTAAGAAACTTTGTCCAAAAAGAAAAGGAAAAAGGATGATTGGTTGCACACTTATTAAATTGATCATGTGATTCTGTTGCAGCAAATTTAAATCAGATTGTGATTTCACAGTAATTGTACCCCAGTCAGCTCAGCTCCCCCATTTGGTTTGAGTCTTTTGAACGTTGTTAAAATAACAGCAAACTGTACATTTAATGAAACCGTTTTGGAAAAAGAACAAGTGAAAAAAATGTGTAAATAGTTTGGCTCCTGTTTGAAGAACAAAATAAATACTAAATAAATGGCATTTAGCTGTTCCTAATGTGTTTTTTTTTTTCTTTTACAAACTCATCAGAAAATACAATATAGTTGAGGTTAATTTTGTTCAGTAATTTAATTTAAAACGTATAAATTAATTTCAGTGTTACATTTCTGCATACATTTCTGTGAATTTTGATGACTGGTTACTGCATAATAGAAAAAATAAATTTCATTTATTTGGAAAAAAACGAGTTTGGACCACTGAAGAACAGTAAAATCTTTTTGTTTTTATTATTATTCTGTAAGACAGTTATGGTTACTTTTAGTTTAGAATGGGCTTTACTACACCCCTTGAAAGTGTCAATCCATGTTTGTTTTTCCTTCCACTAAGTTTTTCTAAGATGTGATTGGCTGCTGGGCTACAGTCAAATCGCAGTCTTTCTTAGACCCATGTAATCTAATTTTGAGTAACTTAATGTTAGGTTTCCATTTAATGACGAGTAACTGAAATCCAACTAAATACATAAAATAACTGATACTTTTTCTTTTCCCGAGATCCATCTGTATATTCTATTCTAAACAAAATCCTTAAACTCAGAGGAAACCTGATGCGGAAGTGGAGGGGAGCAAATCTCAAATCCGTTTAAACGAATTCTCGCGATAGTTCCAAACACATGGCTGCCTACTTGTGTTTACAACTTCTCGAGGAGCTGGTAAGCAGCACAGAAGTTCCCTGCAAAGAAGACGTCGACTTGTATTTGGGGGGATCTTGTCTTCTTCGCCTGTGTGAAAACTTTTGAAGCCGCAAAGAGGGAAAAGGACACGAAGCTCAGCGTCAACGGTCAGAAGAGCTACAGCAGGTGCGTAGCTGCATATCGTTAGCACAAGCTAGTGCTAACTGAAGCTAAACAGAGCTTGGTGGCTGTTTCTTTGTTCCAGACACATAAAATGTGCTTTCTCCATCGTCAATATAAATGTGGAGGACAAAAAAGCAGCAGGGCTGGAGGGAGATGTATCTGTGGATATTTTATGCTGTTAATTTGAAATGACGACTGACCGTTTTGAAGTATCTGATCTGTCACGACTCGCCACAGGTGTTTGGAGGAGCATTATTGCAGCTTGCTAAAGCGCACAAATATATACCTTGTTATAACACGAACGCTAAATGTTTCAGATTCAATTGTTGTTGTCGACCGTTTCTTAAACCTACCCAGTATGTTGAAATTGTGCCTTTACTGCACAGTATTTTTATTCTGTTTTTTATATTATGCTATTTCTATCTTTGTGTGAATATACTTGCTTTCCTGTCTGTGACTTTCTATTCTGATTACTTGTCCAAAGAAACCTTTCAGTTCAGCGGTTCCACTTTAAACGTAATAAACGACCCTTAGGAGTAACGTTACATTAGATGGACATGCATACAGACAGGGACTCATTGTTAGCGGTCATGATACAGATGTTAAAAAAACTGAAATTGTATGCAATTCGGTAGCTTAGTTTCACTCTGGAAAAACTTTGGAAAGTCTACCTTTTTGTTTGGATTAGATTTATTCAGTGGGATTAGTAAGCATCAAAATTTTAGCTCCCTTGTTGTTAGCACTGTCTGCTTATAGGACAACACCTAGTTTTCTTTTATAACATTTCATAAGGTTGAAGAAGACAGAGGGATATTTGACTATTTCTTTTGGCACATATGACTTGATCAGTGGTGACAAACTATCAGAAGACATAAAATTAATACTCCAGGTCAAGAATCATCGTTATTATAAATGTCTGCTGTGTGTGTGTGTGTGTGTGTTTTTGTTTTTAATTCACGCAGACACATACTGACTAAATCAAATTTGAAAATGCTAAGTAGTATTTTTGTTTCTTAAACTGTCTTCTAAAGAAATGACTGCAGAACAGAGGAACATGCGAACAGGACGGCGTCGATGAAAGCTGTTCAGTCTGCAGAGTAAATGTTGGTTTGATGTTTGTGAATGCATGTAGGGGATATTAAATCATTCTCCATGCAATGCCATTCCATTTGCTCTTAATTTTACGTATTTATGAACATATCTTTGTTTTTCCATTTGTATGCAGTGCCAAAAGCAATAAAAATGAATTTTCTATTTGTATGAGTGAAGGAGAGGTTTAGAAAGACATCAGCTTCACAACGAGGGAAAAAAAAACTGTCTTTAATGCTTCTTGAAACGAGCAAAAATGTTCCATGAAAACCGGGCTTTTATCTTTACCCACTTCCTGTTTTCTGTAGGTGGGTGATGTCCTCAAACCCCGACAGACTCAGCCGTCCACACTGCAGGAGGAAGCACTATCCCAGTAGCACTTACCTCACCCACGTCTGACAGCCACCCGCCGGACTGCAGGCCTCAAAACGCCGGGAGGAGGACCGATAAAGCCATGTCCGATTCAGCTGGAGGTGGAGAGAGCGGAGGCGTGGCGGCCGGTGGGCAGGACTCTGAAGCAGACGGCGAGCCCCCTCAGCAGGTCCCGCCTCTACTCTGTCAGTCTGAGCTGGTGGAGCAGGAGACCCCAGAGGACGAGCTTCCACCATCAGCCAAGCGCTCCAGGATGAGAGAGGAGGAGCAGGAAGATGGAACACCAACGGAGTCTGGATCTGCACAGGGAGACACCTCCACATCCGCACAAAGTAAAACACTCGTCTTGATAATAGAGTGCGTTTAAAAACTGGAAGTGTGGCAGAAATACTGTACTCACAGATTTAAATTTTATTTGTTTTATAGCAACACATGAGTTACAGCAACCTGAGGGGGGAGATCAGAGAGACGAAGATGTAGCAGAATGCCACCAGAACGGAGATGGAGGACCAGATGCTGCAGAAGGAGACGAGACGAGGCGAGAGGAGGAGTGCGATGGCGACGGAGCAGCAGACAGCCCCGCAGCAGGACAGCAGTAAGTTGAAGAACTTTTGTTCAAATTTATGTTTTGCATCCTGACTTTCATTTAAAACGTCTCACAGAAAAGACAGCAGACAGAAAATACAAAGCAAGAAGGTTTTACACACGGTGGAGCTTCAAACTATTGTGATTGCTTCCAGGAAAGATTTTAATCTCGGTTTGGTTGATTTTAATTCGGTGTCACGATCTCCATGTGATTGTTGAGGCGCACACTTCTTTATTTTTTTCTTGTTTAATCTTAAATTAAAAGAAAAGACTTTCATGTGTTTTGTATACAGTTGTAGTGCCCCCGTCAGGCCAAACACAAGATCTTCCCTCTTTTTGTTTGTTTTTTTCCAATAAAAGTTTTTTTTTTTCTTTTCTTTTTTTAGAAAAAAAATCACATTTGACTGATGTCACTTAATCTATATGTTCAAATATCAATGGGTATTATAGAAAATCCACTAAGGACTTTGTGGTTATATTTGAGATTCCCTGCTGTGCCTGTTTGACCATTTTCATGAACTCCTTATGACCTTGAGATGCTAAAAGAGGGAGAGATGGAGAAATGACTACAACAAAAGAATGGATAGAAAATGTGGGACTCCATTAGTTATAATGACAAAGTTTAGGACAAAAACAGAAGAAATAACCTACTGAGTGGAAATTTATTTCATAAAGTAATTATTTATAGTAAAAATTAAAAAAAAAATGTATGAATGTTTGTTGATTTTTAAGCATTGTAATAATTCAGACAGTACAACATTTAAAAATCATTTCATTTGCAAAATGGAATCTCTACAAGTTTTTTTTTTTCTTTTCCACAAGCTTTCTTTATTTTCTGACCAACATCAAACTTCAGTTGTTATGAGTGTGTGTCTCATGTGTGTCTTTTTCTTCCAGCCTGGACCTGGATTTTACCCAGAATCCCTCAATGCTGACCGGTTCCTGGACGGAGTACTCCAGCTTTCCAGAGAATTACCTGAAGGGCTGCAAATGGTAATCCTGATTTACGACAAACATGAACAAAACACACTGGAGCAGGTGGTTTTCTGAGCCACTTGTGTATTTTATCTTTGGCCTAATCACTCATAAGTCATTTTGAGTTTAGTAAATGTCTTCCTCCCATTAAAACAAAAGGTGAAGGAGAATTTTCACTCTATCAATTGAGGTATTGTGCAAATCATCTTTTATCAGAGACAATATTACAACATGAAGCAAGTTGAGTTAATATTACGCAAACCGTCTCCTCCATTTAGGGCCCCCGATGGTTCCTGCATCCTGACTAACAGCGCCGACAACGTCCTCCGCGTTTACAACCTCCCTCCAGAGATTTACAGCTACAGCTGGGACTCCATCCCTGAGATGGTGAGTCAGAAATCGGCAAATGTTTTTTTTTTCCAAATGCTTCGTAAATAACAGTTGGAACCATTATTGACAATTCAGATTTTAAAGGAGCAACGTTTTTGCGTATTTAAATATTTATTAGCAGCATCAGTTTGTGTTTGTGAATTTATTTTTACTTTCATGAAACTATTGGGCCTTCTGAATTAGATGTAGGGATAGAATTTTATCGTGGTACTATTGTGGTGGTGATTAAAAAAAAAAAGTATGTATTATTCTATTTTTAGGTAACCGTATGGCTGTGACTCCATGGCACAGCATTCACAGCGCCACAAACACAAATATTCTTGAAAAACATTTCTATTTGAAATAAAGATGGGATTTATATCACAAAAACTGCACACAGTAACTACATTCA